GAAGGCTTGCTCTAGGGTGTGAGTTTGTGAGGAGATAAGGCAATGGGGGATATAGGAAAGGGAAGAGAGATGGATAGAATCAGGTCATACGGGGTACAAGAAGAAACATCTGGCTTTTCCAAGTCTTCAGGAAAGGTGGTTCTAGGATTTGAACTCAGGTCTTGAACTCAGAGCTTGCTGGTCCATACTTCCAGCCCTGGTTTGTTTTTGTTTTTGTTTTCTTTTTGCTGGTTACTTTTGGGATAGGATCTTGTTTTCCTGCCCAGAAGAGTGCACCTGGGTGCATCCTACCAGTGTTAGGTTTCCCATTATGGCTAGGATAGCAGGCATGTGCTCTGTGCCTAGCTTTTAGTTAAGGCATTCTCATGAAATTTTCTACCTGGGCTAGCCTTGAACTATGATCCTTCCAATTTCAACCTCCAAAGTAGCTTTCTTCAGTCCAGTGTGGTTAAGGCTAAGGGAGAGAAATAATGAGGACAGACCAAAGAGCTATCTTTGAGGCTGATTGTTACTCATAACCTAAATGAGATGAAGATTGTTGTATGTTTGCATTTTCTTCCCTTATGTTTTCTTATAGATGATTTAATTGATAATTCAAAGAGCCACATTTTTGTACAAGAATCCAAATAGGAATTTAAGTATTAAAGTGCAGGCTGGCTAGGAATGTACTGAGTGTCCTCATCACTGAAGGAGCCACTAGGTTGAAAGGAAGTCCATGACTTCTGTCCACACACAGTGTCGCCAGCATGAAATAATAACTGCAACCCTGAGTCCAGGAGTCCACAAGAAGTGTCCCAAAGCAGAACACCTCTTGTGGTGTCTCACGGCTCCTCTGCCCACCCGAAACAGGCTCACACTGCCCACATGCGCTTCCCTCCCTCACTGACCTACTCCAGATCTCCTCCACATCTCCCCTCCTCCCCCTTCCTGGCTAAGCTGAGGAGCTGCTATGATCACAGCCATCTGACTTCATGTTTTCAATTGATCTAGGACCCCAATCTCCACCACAGCCAGTGAGCTTGTCATCTTGGAGCAAAATGTGACATGTATGTGTGTATGTATTTAATGGTAGGGTGCTTTTTTGAGTCAGTGCCTCTTACAAATTTGCCTTGAGAGAATAATCAGAGATGCACAAGGTTTATGAGTAAAGTTAGTTCAGTGCTCTTTGAAATGGTAAAAAGTTGATAATCAAGTGTGCATCAGTAGGGCTTTGGTTAAATAGTCAGCTATTACAAATCATGTTTCTAAAATGATTAGTATAATGTTAAATAGAAGACAAGGTAAAAATGAACTTGTATTTTTAAAAAATATATTTGCAAATACAGGACTGTAATTTAAAAATGTTAACATTCATTATGTTAAAGAAGTAGAATTACACTTTTTTTTTTTTTTGCCAGTCCTGGGGCTTGAACTCAGGGTCTGGGCATGTTGATGAGCTGCTTTTGCTCAAGGCTAGCACTCTACCACTTGAGCCACAGTGCCACTTCTGCCTTTTTCTGTTTATGTGGTGCTGAGGAATTTAACCCAGGGCTTCATGCATGCTGGGCAAGCATTCTACCACTGAGCCACATTCCCAAACTAGAATTATAAATTTTACTTTGTACTTTACTAAATGTTTCCAGTTTTTTTGTTTGTTTTTTTGGGTCGGTCGAGGGCTTGAACTCTGGGCCTGGGCGCTGTCCCTCAGCTCTTCAGCTCAAGGCTAGTGTTCTACCACTTGAGCTACAGTGCCACTTTCGGTTTTCTGGTGGTTTATTGGAGATAAGAGTCTCAGTCTTTCCTGCCCGTGCTAGCTTTGAACCGCGATCCTCAGATCTCAGCCTCCTAAGTAGCTAGGACTACAGGCGTGAGCCACCAGCGCCCAGCTATATTTCCAGTTTTTTAAAATTGGAATTTATGCCATGTTTAGGAGGAAACCCTCTATCAAGTGTCTCTAAGACAGAGGCCCTGGGGTAGCACAGCAGGCAGCAAGTCTGTCTGTGAGGGGGCCTGGGCCCAAGGCAGTAGCCAAGGATAAAACATCACTTCCCTCTTGCTATTCTTGAGAGAGAGAGAAGAGTACTGGTGTTACTTTTTGGAAACAATAGGCCTGAGGTTATTGAATGAGATTTTTATTTTGTTATAAAAGTTAATATGATGGGGGCTGGGAAGGTGGCTCAGTGGTAGAGTGCTTGCCTTGCATGCCTGAGGCCCTGGGTTTGATTCCTCAGCACCACATAAGCAAAAAGAAAAAAGCCGGAAGTGGCGCTGTGGCTCAAGTGGTAAAGTGCTAGCCTTGAGCTGAAGAGCTGAAGGACAGCACCCAGACCCAGAGTTAAGGCCCCACGACCGGACCCCCTCCCCCCCCAAAAAAGTTAATATGATGTAGTAAATATTCTATCTGCATGTGACCAAGAAGGCATCATGGTCCATTTCTAGTCCACCTTCACAATTCTGAGTATTTGCTCAAGGGATAGAGTTTCAAAGTTTCATTTGGTCATGAAATGTCCTTGGAAATTTGCTGCTGCTTGGCTGAGCCTCAGATTCGAGAACATGTATAGCAGGAGTTCTAAGAGTTGTAGCTATTTCTCTGTCATCCAATGTCATGTACACGTGTTTGAGGATGGGTGTGTTGTGGTAAGCCATCCTTCAGTTTAACCTGACCTTTGGTGGTGCATCCATGCCGCCACTCTGTTCTGCCTTTGCTGGTTTCCCCCTTTTTGTTCTCAGCTACTGGTATTCTCACTTAGGTACTGGCATTCAGGTTCTGTCCTCACCTTTGCTAGCTGTGCAACCTAGTTCTCCATGTGTATGCTTGTGGGAAGCACTTTTCCAACTTTGATCTGTTGCTCTGCTACTCCTCTGGGTCCTTTTCACTACCTGTCCCGAATGGCGTGGACAGGGGTAATGTGCTTTGAGAGCAACTGACTCCAACACCTCCAGCTCATTCTTCCAGAGTGACTAGGGCAGTCTACTTCTTTTCTATGGTGTTCAGGAGTCTGTGATCCAGGCATGTGGACAAGGTAAATTAGACAGTGTGTATGTGCTTTGAGTTGTAGTCCCTACCTTATGGAAATTTTGTTTTGTCTACTTAAAGCATGAGTCCAAATCTTAAGGTGGGGTGGTATGGCAAGTGGGGTGTCCTCTGATTCATCTTCCTGGTGAGCCACACATACTACTCTGGCTTTGACCACCACTGCTTTCCTGAAGTCTGCCTGCATCAGAGAAGTTCCTCCTGACCACCAGACCCTCATTTCAAATTGCCTGTCAGGTGTTCTTCGGATGTCCAGAGTCAAAAATGAATGTGTGTCATCCATGCCCACTCTGCATGTGCATCTCACATTTCTACCTTTGCTCTGGGAACTTCCCGACCTCCCATAGTAACTCATCAGCTTCTCCTCAGGGCTGCGGCTCTCTGGAAGTGCCTTCAGGATGACGCTACTTTGCTGTTTCTTTCTTGCCTCTTGACCCCACGAATACTGAGTTTCTAGTCAGGTCCATGCTAGGTGCCATAGGAGTAGTATGCACTCTGGATGTTTGCTGAGCAAATGGTGGCAGATGACTCTGGTTTAGCTTCTTAGGACAGCAGATCTCTGCAAGGAAATTATAGCTCCCCACGATGATCTAAGTATGTGTAATTCACAACCATTTTGTGTGTGTGTGTGTGAGAGAGAGAGAGAGAGAGAGATGGGGCTTGACTCAGGGCTCTACCACTTGAGCCACAGCTCTACTTCCAGGTTTTTTTTTTTGGCGGGGGGGGGGGGGGGGGCGGGGGGCGGTTAGAGTTAAGAGTCTCATGAGCTGCCTGCCTACACTGGTTTTGAACCATGACCCTCAGATCTCAGCCTCCTGGGTAGCTAGGATTATAGGCATGAACCGTGGGCACCTGGGTCTCAAAACCTTTCTTGCAACTCTGCATTATGTAAGAATTTTGTTATTTCTCTGCTGCTATTTAAAAGGTTCTGAAGATAAAATTGCAAGTGAGCTTGACACCACTAGGTGTCACTGTTGGTTACTGTCAAACAAATGGGATAGCAGTACCTAGTCTGTTTTCTGCCCTTTTGATCTTTCCTTTCCCTAGACACTAGTTTGGAATATCAGACTCAGGATTACATTTAATCTCTAAATGCTATGTGTGGGTAAAGGCATGGAAAATTTCCATTCTACTCCATTCACAAGCTAGTAGGGTTTCGTCTCCCCACTCCTCCCCCCTACACACTGGGGTTTGAACTCAGGAAGGTGCTCCACCAATTTAGGCCCATAGCCAATTTTTACATTTTTCAAACAGGGTCTCCTGTTTTTTTGCTAGGACCAGCTTGGCCCAGGAATCTTATTTATATCTCTTGGATAGCTGGAGGGTTACTTACATCCAGCTTTTATTGGTTGAGATGGGGGAGGCATCCTTGCTTTTTACCCAGGCTATCCTTGAACCTCTATCCTTGATCCTCTCAACCTTCCAGTAGATGGGATTATAGACGAGAGTCACTGCACTTGATCCTTAAGTAAACTTTGATCTCACTACCCAAAGAACTGCTAGTCATTTTCATTTTACCAGAAACTCCTTAATTAAAATAAACAAGCCCCTTCTTTTCTTCCTTGACTTCGTCCCAGTTCTCAAATCACCTATCCCGGTTCTCCCTGTGACCTTCCTACAGGCTGCTGTTGTCTCCCTCCCCTGCCCCCGAGTCTAAATTTATCTTTGTGATACATGTATATTTTCAGTAACAGTAAAAAATAGACTTGATATTTTGAACTAGGTTTACAAAAAAAGTAAGCAGAAAGTGGAGTGTTCCTATATACTCGTTTCCCTCTTCACTTGTAGCCTCAGTCTCCATTATTAATGGAGTAGCTTGTGAGCCCATAGTTGCCATCAGGGTTCCATCTCTCATAACCAACCCCCTTATGGAGGCTGCCGCTGATGGAAGCTGTAAGTAACTGAATTTCATAGCTTCTATTTTTTTGTGGAAACTCTGAAAGAAGAACATTAAATGTATACTTAGAAAAGGACTTCAGAGGCCAACTTTTGAGGGGTACTTTTTATTATAAATTTATTATGGTTGATTAATGAAAAATCACAATGAAGTACCAAGAAAATGTTTGTCAATATAAAAATTTTAGCAGCATTTCCAAAGTGTCAAGCTCTTACATTAGTTCTACTTCCTCCCTCTTGCTAGCAACAGAGAATCCAGTGCTCTCTATGAGCCTCAGCTGTTCTGATTAGTAAAGGCCCCAAGGAACTCAAACCCAGTGTATTTTGAATTCCTCAGCACCCAAATTTCTAGAACGTGAAAGCACACAAAAAGCCTCACTGGCTTTAATATTTGAGACAAGATCTCAACTTTTCAACTGCAGGGGAAAACAGGGATGGAAGTTTCACTGGGATTTGATATGTAGTGCTTAGCCCTCATCCTGTACCTGTACATTCTCCACGCTGGTGACAGTGAAAGGCCACTGTAGTGCTGACTGGTATCTGGTATGTGGCAGCAGGGGGGCTGCTGATGAGGTGGGAATCCACAATGGGACGTGTACATGGTGGGCAGCTGGTACTCAGCCACACACTTTGCTCTTGGCGGATAAGAGCTTGGCTGGTCTTCCACACCCAGGCAAATGGGAGTGATGAGTGACAAGGGAGACAACAAGAAATCTAATACTGGCAAACTATTCCCCTGCTTCTTTGGTACTTCCAAAATCCTCTGATCAAAAATGTATAAGGGAAGCACACCATTAAAATTACAGTTTTAAGTATTTACAAAAGAAAGTATGATATATTGTACAGTAACCCATTTGTACTATGTGAACACATTCTGCCAGGAAAGCACTTGTGAGCCCCTGGCCCAGTTTTACATGGTACATGCAGGCCTGTGTACACTGGCCTGACTGTAACCCGGATCTGCTAGCTCACTTTTTTACAGTATAGAAAAGGGAAAAAAAAATACCAGTTGGAAAAAGAAATTATTTTCCAATCTACACTTCGTTTCCAAAATGTTCTTAACATTTGCCACTGAAATTATGTACAAGATTTATTGAATATTGAATTCTAGGCAATAGTCTCCACTCCCATCTTGAGTACGTTTGAAATAATGCTATTTGGTATATATAATATATATTTAATATATAAGTAACTGCACCACATATCACCACGATACCAGTTTAATACATACTACTATGTACAGTAGTTAAGTTAGCTCTGGAAGATGAACCTCTGCAGCCTGGGAGAGCAGTGTGGCATGGGGCCATCTGAAAGGGATGTGCAGGGCTGAATGGGAGACAGCCATGCATGTGAGCGTGTGCACGCATGTGCGTGTGCATGTGTGAGAAAGAAAAGAGATATGTCAGGGCACATACCTCCCGCACACCCATGCTAGACTATCTACCATTTTACTTATTTACTGGTGGGAGGAAGACAAGTCACACCTATGGAAGGATCCCATACATGAGAAGAGCCATGACAGCAGCGCTGAATAACCCTGCCACCGGGACAGTCACAAACCAGGCCACAAAGATGTTCCGGAAGAGGCGCCAGTCCACGGCCTTCCGGGAGCGGATCCAGCCCACAGCAACTACTGATCCCACCTGGAGAAGCACAAACATTTTAAAGTGAAAATATCAGCATGTTTCAAGGTAAAATGCATAATCTATACTATCAATGTCAATGGCTAAGCATGGACATAGACATAAACATAAAATGAAGTTGCCCATTATTTTCCTTAGTTTGTAAAAAGCTTTTAAAGATAGTTTTTTTTTAAAGATAGTTTTGATTGTTTGGGGAATATTTTATTTTAGTTTCCAGTCCTGCTGTACATTTTCACCTACATTCTGCATAAAAATGTATTATTGGATCTATAGGTAACGATGACTCATTAAATGGTTTTGTATAATAGATGAAAATCAAAATGTTAATAGAGTAGGTTTCCAAACACTTGCAGGTCACTTATGGTTTGTTAAATTTTTAAAAAGTAAAAGAGATATAGCTTTAAGTGTCCTAGAAAATGAAAATGATAAGAAAACACAATGTTGGCTGGTGCTGGTGGCTCACACCTGTAATCCTAGCTACTCAGGAGGCTGAGATCTGAGGATCATGGTTCAAAGCCAGCCTGGGCAGAAAAGTCCGTGAAATTCTTATCTTCAATAAACCACTCAGAAAACTGGAAATGGCAGTTGCTTAAGTGGTAAAGCGCTAGCCTTGAGCTGAAGAGCTGAGGGACAGTGTTCAGGGCCCAGAGTTCAAGCCCCACGACCGACCAAAAAAAAAAAAAAACCAAAACACAATGTCCACATTTTATACCTCATATGAGAAGTAGTTAAATTCAGAGTTAACAGTGCTCTTGGTCACACTGGAATTGGATATTTAAGAATTCCATGAAAAATAGGCTGATCTTCTCACACTTAATGGTGGCTAATGACATTCAAATAGGAAAGGCAATTCACAGCATCAGGAGTCTAACTGGAGAAAGGGAGTCACTAAAAACTACAGTTTATTGAAAGGCAGTTAATCTGATATTCCACTAACCGAAGCCAAGATTAACCAGCAACTCTGGTGCATTTCCAGGGAAACAGCTAAATGCATATGGAAAGGGTCATCACAATGACCAGTTGTACTCAGTCTTTGGCTATAATTAGTATACGAAATTATAGACAATGATTTTTCTATTTCCTAAGCAATGGATAGATTCTGCAGATCCACGGAGCAGCATAGACAATAGCCTTTGACTATAAAGTCTTCTGCTTCTTCCTTGTGCTAATCTATACATTCTTCTTTTCTTGTTAACACTTTTTTTTTTAAAGAACATAGTATAACCTTATAGCAAGTCTTTAGAAAGGTCATATAAAGAAGGGCAGACTTTTGGTGGAGATGCCTGAATTTCTTTAACCATTCCCAATTTGTTTCTATTTTTTCCTTATCAGAACTAGATTTACCGTGACATTTGTTCATATAGTTTATCTTTAGGCTTTAAAAGTAGTATTCTGTAAAAGAGATTACTAATTAGAATGCAACATTTAAAATATATCTTGAAATAATTTGACACTTTGAAGTTTTAGGAACTCCCAATAAGTCAAATTCACCAAATTTTAGCACATTGCTGCAATGTATGGAGAGAGATACATTTCCATTACAATAGCTGTCTTCTAAACAAGCCTTTCTTTTCTGCTAAAGTTTTAGCAATTTAGTCTTTATTACACTGGCTGCAACATGGTGACTTCCTCCTTCCCTGCCTATCATCTACTTTGAGAGTGTTCCTTCCTGGCCAGTGGGCTCAGGATAGTAACAAAGTTGCTACACAACTTTATGAAAGTTATTATGGTGTGAGGAATCTTGATTCTGGGAATCTAGAACATTATAACCATCTCCTAAATTGTTCTCATGGATTACTGTCATTTTTTTCTCTACGTTTTGTGATGCTAGGGATGGAGTGCTACTTGCTCTGTCACTGAGCCACACACCAAGGCCTCAGATGTGTTCTACAACTGAGCTATACCATCAGTCCAATACATACAGCTATAATCATGACTGAGGCTGAACCTTCCCTTATTTACCCAGTATCATTCCATCTGATTTTTTTAAACTTATTTATTTCTGTTTCGGGCTTAAACTCTAGGCCTGGGTGTTGTCCCTGAGCTCTTTAGCTCAAGGCTAGCACTCTCCCACTTGAGCCACAGTGCACTTCCTGCTCTTTTTGTTTATGTGGTGCTGAGGAATCGAACCCAGGGTCTCATGCATGCGAGGCAAGCACTCTACCACTTAGTCACCTTCCCAGACCCTCCATCTAGTTTTTAACATCTTGTCATGATTTTCGCTTATTTATGTAGTGAAATCTAATGTGTCTCACACTTACTTTGTGATTGTTATTGAACAATGTTATTAACTTTGTGATACTTAATACAGAGATTTTTCTTAATCTAGTATTAGCTTTGTTGTGCTTCTTTCTAGTTTCATGCAATCAATAAGATAAGCTTATGCTTTTCTTCTGTGATTTCTACTTAGCTTGAATATCTGATATGTATTTAATTCCATTTTTATTCTATCTTTTCTTTTTAAAAGTTATCTTTAATTAGTTTAACAAAGCAGTTTGTAAATACAATATATCTTGATCGATGTTATCCCTTTCAACATTCTCACCCATCCCTCCTCTACGCCTCCTTCCTTCATCTTCTTAAATTTTTAGGATATACATTGGATTCTTGACTGCATTCTCTCCCTTTCTTCTCCCCTTTTCCTCTTCTCCTTTCCCCTTGACTCTACCCATCCCCTTTGAGTACTCATTTCCTGGTGTTTATTTTGTTTAACTTCTGATTTTACCTTCCCAAGAAATTACACTATTTGAGTTCTCCTTAAATATTCTAACATTTTAAAAGTAGATTTTATTCTACATTTAAGGATATTTAAAAATACTGAAGCCATCAGATTTATGTTCATATATCTGAAGAGTTAATTTTGGTGCTAATTTTGTTTTTCTAGGTTTATATCTGTGTTACTTTCTGGTTTTTCTTTTCTTGTTAGTTGTGGGGCCTGAACTCTGGCCTGGGCACTGTCCCTCAGCTCTTCAGCTCAAGGCTAGTGCTGTCCCACTTGAGCCACAGCACCACTTCTGGCATTTTCTGCTCATGTGGTGCTGAAGAATCGAACCCAGGACCTCATACATGCAAGGCAAGTGCTCTACCACTGAGCCACCTTCCCAGCCCAGTTTTTCCTTTTTCAAAATATGCTCATACTGGGTGCTGGAGGCTTACCCATATAATCTTAGATATTCACAAGGCTGAAATCTGGAAGATTAATGTTCAAAGCAAGCTAGGGTAGAAAGAAAATTCATCTACAAAATAAGCAGCAAAAAGCTGGTCTGGAAATGTGGCTTAAGTGGCAGAATACCAGTTTAGCAAGCAAACTGAGCAAGCACAAAGCCCTGATTTCAAATGTCAGTACTGGCAAAATATAGAATATAAATATATGTTGATAAGACAGAACCCATCTCTTGGCTGTCTCTCAATTCTTATGTAAGTATTGACTTTTTAATTATTGTGGTTAAACATGTGTAACAAAATTAACCATCTTAAGTATTTCTAAGTGGACAAGTAATTCTAAGTGGACATTGTTGCGTAACCATTCCAAAATGTAAAGTAAGTATAAAAATAAAAATAGTGAAGGCATCCATGCACTGGTAGCTTACTCCTGTAATCCTAGCTACTCAGGAGGCTGAGATCTGAGGATCATAGTTCAAAGCCAGCCTGGGCAGGAACATCTGTGAGACCCTTAACTCCAGTTAACCACCAGAGAAAACCAGAATTGGTGCTGTGGCTTAAGTGGTCGAGTACTGGCCTTGAGCTGAAGAGCTGAAGGACAGCGCCCAAGCCCAGACAGAGTTCAAGCCCCATGACAAAAAAAGAACAGTGAAGGAGAAATAGGAGCTAGGACTTGCCCCCACCAACTTTTGGCTCCATATAATAGGTAATATGCTAGTGTCAGAACCTCTTCACTTTTCTTTTAAAATCGCCCTCCCCCACAACCTGTCTGTTCTTCCATTCATCCATCTTCATGGTACTGTGGTCTGAATCCAGAGCCTATGCATACTAGGCAAACACATGACCTACATTATTCGGTATTTGTTTTATATTTTGTTTTTGAGATAGGTTCTCACTAACTCTGCCTCAGCTGGCTTCAAACCTGCGAACCTTCTGAGTATCATTTTTCCTACCAAAATAATATTACTTTGTAAAGTTCCAAGAAAAGTTCTGCTGGGGCTATCAGTGGGGAGAACAGATATTTACAGAACCTGCTTTTCTTGGTCAGCCACACAGCATGTCCCAGATTCCACCTAGGTCTGGACTTCCCCTATCTAGCACTCCCATTTCTTTGTAGAATTACTCTAAAGTATGTGTTTTCTATAATTTTTTTTGGGGGGGGTCTGGTCGTGGGGCCTGAACTCTGGGCCTGGGTGCTGTCCCTCAGCTCTTCAGCTCAAGGATAGCGCTCTACCACTTGAGCCACAGCGCCACTTCCAGCATTTTTCTTTTTGCTTATGTGGTGCTGAGGAATCGAACCCAGGGCCTTAGGCATGCAAGGCAAGCGCTCTACCACTGAGCCACCTTCCCAGACCTGTGTTTTCTATAATCATGAAGTGATTTTCCTTTACATTTTTTAATTTGCTGACAAATGAGGTCTCAACTTTTGAATTTTTGAATGGGGCTTACTAGTGGTATGTTCAAACACTGGTACTTTAGCCATATATCATAGATGGTTGCATTTGTTCTGAATGAATTGCTAGGTGATAAAGTACGGCAGTGAAAAATGCCACACATCCTTCTGGGGTTCCCTCAGCATACCGGGCAGAGCCCTGCGAGGCCAGGCCCTGCAGAACCAGGTGGTGGTAGTGGTGGGACAGGTTTGGTGACAAGCCCTGTTCACTAACCTTGAGCAGAGCTCAGCTCACAGATCTGTTTGGTCTTGCTTAAATGTTCTTAAATTTTTATGCCACTATTCCTTGGTTACTTGTGTGATTTTAAAACTAGGTTCTATTATTAGGTTAATTCAGTATGTGCTTTAAAAGAATGTAGAAAAGATTATATAATGGAAAAATTATACCTTTAAAAAATGGAAAAGATTAACTAATGAATCTAGAATAGAAGAAAGAGAACTGTCCCTGTTGCCTTTTTGTTTATGAGGGTGAGAATATTATTGATTGAGGTAGTAGGGTTAGAACTCAGGGCCTTGCACAATTGCTTCTCTTGCTTTCTTGGCTTCCAGCTCCTCTTTTTTTCCCTGGTTATTTTGGAGATGGACTCTCATGAACTTTTCTACCAGGCCTGGCTTCAAACCATGATCTTTGGATCTCAGCCTCCTGAGTAGCTAAGATTACAGGTGTGAGCCATCAATGCCTTGTTAAATGATTTTTTTTTTTTTTGAGAATTCTGTTGTGTCCTATTGTTCTGGTCTTCTACTTTTTTCCTCAGCATTTCTTATGTATATTTTTTCAGAAAGTAATGTACACTGTAGATTCTCGAAGTGGTAGACCACTAGCTTTGAGCATGAGAGCTCAGGGACAGCTCCCAGGCCCTGAGTTCAAGCCTTATGACTGACCAAAAAACAAACAAAAAAAAGGTTCACTAAAATAAAACAACAGGAAGCAGATACACAAAAATGGTGAGGTGAGTTATGGAAAAATGGGTGGACAAATGAGAAGAGTAAAGAATGCAGTTAATCCATTGTAAACTGGGAGAGAATGAGGGAAGAGGTGACACTGTCCAAAAAGAAATGTACTCTTTACCTGTCCTATATAACTACAATCCCTCTGTATATCATCTTTATAATAAAAAAAAATTAAGTAAAAAAATAGAAGAATCCAATGTATAACCTACAAAACTAAGGAGTAGATGGGGAAAAGATGGTAGGAATGTTGATAATGGATGACATAGATTGAGATATACTGTATTTGTAAACTTCTTTGCTAAATGGCAACTCCTTTGTACAACTATTTAAAGATAATACAAAAAAAGAAAAGAAAAGAAATAGGAAAAACCAGGTGTTGGTGGCTCACACCTGTAATCTTAGCTACTTAGGAGGCTAAGATCTGAAGATCGTGGTTCGAAACTAGCCTGGGTAGAAAAGTCTGTGAGATTCTTATCTCCAGTAAAATACTCAGAAAAAGCTGGAAGTGGCTGGAAGTGACGCTTTGGCTCAAGTGGTAGAGTGCTAACCCTAAAAATAAAGAAGATCAGAGACAATGCTCAGGCTCTGAGTTAAGCCACAGGACTAGAAACAAAACAAAACAAAACAAAACCAGCTGGAACTGGAGCTTTGGCTCAAGTGGTAGAGTGCTAGTCTCAAGCAAAAAAGCTCAGGGACAGTGTCTAGTCCCTGAACTCAAGCCCTAAGACCAGCACAAAAATAAAAATTAAAAAAAATTAAACTATGCACTTAGTCACGGAAGCATGAAGTAAACTTCTACCTAGAAAAATCCAAAAGCTCATCTTAAACAACAACTTTCATATTTGTTTTTCTGCCAAGTTTTCAACTTTGCACAGGTTTTAATGGATGGTCCAACAAGAAACTTCAGTCTTTAGCATTAGATAACCATTTCTGAGCTTCTTGTGATCCTGCTAGACTCCACATGGATGTCCACACCCTTTGAATGTTTCCCCATTCCTGACTCACAGAGACCTTGTTCCCAATGCCTACACATAGTTTATGTACACACAGTGGTTGCTAGAAAGCCCCAGCCCCAGCCTTGTCTTAAATGTGCTACATGACTTAGAAGACCCTTGTAAATATCATCTGACCTTAACATCTGTGGCATTTGCTATCTATGTACAGGTGGTGCCTATTCATTAAGTAAAATCTGGACAAAGCTCTTATTTTGTTGAGGCTGGTTGGTGTTTGTACCCAGGAGGTCCATGGGGAGGGAGATCTCAACATTATCTCCAGGTACCAGGAAACCTGGCTGAGGACCTGGCAACTGTTCACATCTAATTCCCTAGTGCTCACAGCACCTGGAGCCCACTTCTTCTCATCATCCTTCAGGGCTCCTCCTGTTCCAACATTCCACCACCCTGACAACACACCACCCTCCTATCCAGCTCTGTCCAGCTGACAGAGGTAATAGATAGTAGGAAGTACTCATTTGGAATCTACTGTAAGGCAAGAATCACTGTGAACATCATATTAAGGAAAAACCCAGAGACAACAGTCTTTGAATTCTGCCAAGCTGATTTGTTTCCTTCCATTCCTCTCTGCACTACAGAGGCCCAGCCCCCTGCCCTAGGGAAACACTGTCAACTCTGAGGGGAACTCCAGTAAGGGTTAGTAGGGGAGGCTCAGGACTAACGGAATGGGGGTGGAGAGGCACCATGGGAGGATAAGTGCTTACAGTCAGGGTCAGGCCCTGAGAAGGCTTAGTCTGAACAACAGAGGTGTCACACTGAGGATCAAGAAAGACTCAAGGACAGTTGGAAGGAAGCAAATACCCATATCCAACAATGCTCTGCTAGAGCATTGCTCTTTCGCACATATCACCATGCACAGAATGCTGCCAGCTTTCCTGGGTTTTGTGTGTGCACTGACTGCCCTGCCCTGCCCCGGCGGCTGGTGGCAGGCTGTCTCCCTTCACTGGCAGAGGCCTACCTTGCAGTGTGTTGTGCTCACAGGAAGCCCGATGTTGGAGGCGATCACCACGGTGAAGGCTGAGGCCAGCTCAATGGTGAAGCCACTGTGGGGAGTAGAGGAAGATATGTCACAGGTGCTCCTGCTCTCCTCCTCTAGTGCTACAGGCACTCCAGAACATTCTGTGGGTCAGTGCCGACTGCTGACTGGGCCAGATGAACATTAGCAGAAGAAACTGCTGCATAATGGCAACAGTTCACGCCAGGACTTCACATTATCCTGTTGCCAGCCCCAAACAGCCTGCTTTCCTGATATGTTTTCAAAATCCACACACTGCAGGAACTGGGTCAGAAATGCCTGCTGTGTAGTAAGATGATAGAGTAGTCATCTCTAAAGGAACAGGAAAAACTATGCCCTCATTTTTAAAATGTGCTCAGATGACTAATTTTTCTTCAAATTAATCTTCTAAAAGAATCTTTTGCTCAAATGAATTTCAAGAGGGGAAAACTAGGAACAAAAGGAAGTTGAATCCCCCAATCTCTTTTTTAAAGAGAAAATTTTTCTTACAATGGGTAGTTCCAAATTTTAGTTACTTTCTCTCAGTTCTGTTTTAAGCTTGATATTTAAGCTCTGAATAGACCTAAAGGCCCCACAGTTGAATGAAGCCTCTGACCTCACTTTTGACAACAAGGACATGTCCCATGTGGCTGAGCTTCCTGGACCATGGTCAAGTTAGCCCTGGAAGGACAGCAGATGGGAGCTGGTATGGCTGAATTATTTCTGGGAAAGGCAGTATTGTACTTTGGGTCTGGGATGTTCACCAAAGGCCCACGTGTTCAGGTTATGTGAAGCCTGGCCCATCCATCTTTGGTGGGGGGAACCTTTATGAGGTGGGTCACTGGGGATGTGGCACTCTTGCTCTTTGGTCCTTCTCCCATTGCTCCTCTGTCATTCTTTTCATCAGCCAGGGAGTGAGAAGTTTTGCTCTGCCATCTATTCCCTCTATGATGTACTTCCTTACCATAGCCCCAAGAATGAGGCCAACTATTGTGGACTAGCACTTTCCAAACTGTGAGCCAAAATGAACCCATTCTCTTCATAAACTGATTATCTCAGGTATTTTGTTAGAGTGACAGAGAGCTAACTAACACAGAAAAGAAGCCAGATGGGCTGTGGGGCAGGAGAGTGGGCGCAGTTAGAGGATTCTGGAGATACAGATTCCAGGTGCGTGTGATGTTCATGTCCTGCCCGCTACACCTGCTCTCTGCACTTCCCACTGCATGAGGCCATCAGCAGGGGTGGATGGGGCTGCTGCCTGCTTGTCCTTTTCCCTTGCTGCCTGCTCCGTCTCTGTCAGCTTCCTCTATTCTACTGCCTCTCACAATAGGGCACTGGAGATGGAGGCACAGGAGTGCCCTCTTCCTCAGGACTCTTGACGTATTGACATAGGTCAACAAAGCTCAGCAGGCAGTCTACCTCAGCTGTCAAACTGTCTTCCCATGCCACACTTGCTGGCTTAGCTCACCTGGATGGTGTGATGGGAGTGAGGTCCTTCCCCATGGTCTGGATCACTCTTCTCCCCCAAACCCAGAGACCTGTGCAGATTCCAGCTCCACCATAAAACAGCAGCCAGACAGGAGTGGCTGCTTCTTGCATTACTCCACCTTGTTTATAAATCAGCCACAAAGCCACCAGGGGACCAATGGCATTACTGGAAAGAAAAGAAGGTTACACAGATATAAACATGGCACTGTGATTCTCAGTTGTGAGAATTACACTTATGTTCACCTACAACATGCAGATATAGTATACAATCTAGTAGTAAAGAGTTTATTTCAGCATACTACAAAATTTGGAATTTTAGCCATTTTAAGTATATAGTTCGGCACTCAGGCCTTGAGTTCAAGCCCTAGTACCAGCATATACAGGTATTAAAAAAAAGTTTGCATTGGGACAAAAGGTGAAACAATTCAGCAGTGATGCTTACTAGATACTATGTTGGAAATGAATTGTACAACTTGGGCGGAGGAGGGGAGTTGGGAAGGGAAAAACTGGGAGAAAATGAGGGAGTGACACTGTTCAAAAGGGAATATACTCATTACCTGATCTTTACAACAATTTTTTTTATACATATAGTTCAGTAGTGTTAAGCATATTTAAATTGTTGTCAAACAGATTTCCATAAGTTTTTCTCTTGCAAATCTGAAATTCTGTGCCCATTAAACAACAGCCCTGTGCCCTTCCCACTGATGCTGGCAACCAGCATTTTACTTTCTAGTTCTGTGCTGCTGACTACTTTAGCTATCTTGTGTATTAGAATCAGATAGTATTTACCTTTTTGTTACCAACTCACTTACTTAGTATTATGTCCTAAATGTAACAGGTACTCAGAACTGTTTGCTGACTAACTTAAAAGCTCATGAGCCAAGGTGTTTTGCAGCTTTGAAAACACACTTGAATAACAAGAATCCAAGTCCAGGGTCCATTGTCTTTTCTTAGATCACAGTTACTAACCTCCTAATGGTTCCCATCTGCTTCTCTTTAGTCTATTTGCTGAACAAAGACAGAGTCCTGGCAAATGAATACCACAGCAGTCTGCGCTAAGCCTCTGGTGGCTCCCCTTTTCTAAGTAAAAATATTTCTTCATTTTGAAAATTTATTTTTTTCTTCCTGCTGTGTTGTCCAACTTGGCCTTTAATTCATGGACTCAAAAGAATTTCCTTTCCCCAGACTCTTAATAGCTGGGATTCCATTCTGCATGTGACCCTCACTTCCTGGTAACTCCTGGTCTGGTAACTCCTAAGCACTCCAGACCTCCATGACCTCCTACTGTCTAGTCTCTACTCTCTCCCCTCCAGGGCCTACCTCCAGTTTTTGCAACTGCTGCTCCCTTTTCCTATGCGGCTACCTGGTCTGGTCCCTCAATTCCTTCCCTGCACAGCCCATCCACACTGCACCCCTTGGGTTCCCAGATCCCTTCCTACTTTTCCACAAGCCTTCTCATTGTCCAGCATGCTCTGTGCCTACCTGTGCGTTTACTATCTGCACAACCCTCCCGGGGTTGGGGAGTAGGAATTTCTATTCATGCTGTTTATTGCTGAACCCTAGTGTTCAGTGCTAATTCCCAATGCATACTTCTTGTTTGATTTTGGTACTGGGGTTTGAATTCAAGACCTTGTGCTCATTAGGCAGGTGCTCTATCACTTGTACCACACTCCAGCCCTATTTGCACTGGTTGTTTCTTGGAGAGGGTTTCACACTTGCTGCTTGCCATCCTGGATCACTCCTCCTACTTCTGCCTCACCCATAATAAGACAAGAAGTGTGGCCATCAAGGCAGGCCCCATGTTGCTTATTGATTTAATGAATATAGTTACCTCACGTCATTGCCTCCGTGTGCGAAGGACCCAAAGCAGGCTGTGAGGACTTGCAGAAAATGGAACAGCAGATGGACCTCAGGGGCATCCTTCTCCTGTTCCTCCTCTGCAGGGTCCTCCCGAGGCTGATCAGGGTCTGGAAGCTCTGATGCCAGCTTCATCTCCACACCGCCCTCCTCAGCCTCGATCTCTGCTTCCGCTACCGCATTGCAGTAGCTGGAGTAGCTGTCATAGCGAAGTCTCTTCTTAGAATAGGCCACAGTGTCCCCTACCAGCTTCTCACTATCCTCTGGGGCCGAGGCTGAGTCAGCTGCCTTGAAAGTGGCGTGCACAGGCATCCCACAGATGGCTGCGGTGTAGCAGGTGTAGCTGTTATTGCGCCGCAGCAGCCGGTAGTTGTTCTCGGGGGCCGGCTTCTCCTCGGAGCCCCGGTCCACGTGGATCTTATGCAGCAAGTCCTTGTAGAGCCCCGAGTCTTTGTGAACTGTGTGATACACGTGGCCGTCACTCCTTGTGTGGCTGTCGAAGCCAAATGTGCCGTTGGAGACGGGAGACTTGGCAGAGCTGGGTGTCATGGACAACGCCCTTCCTGGCAGGGATTTAGGAGAGTTTGGTTTAGGGCTGGGTGTGGCTCAGGAGTGGGACAGGCGACACATGTAAAGGTCTAGAAGGTCTTATCCTCCAGCCTTCTCAACACAAAGCTGTCTACAAAAAAAAATGCTCTCTAGCAGCTCATGGTAGTGATGTCTGGAAGGCTGGATTATGAGTGATTTAAATATTTTTATTGACATCAACACTGACATACCAGGAGGGTCTCATCTCAACAAATCTATTCATGTATACGTGCCTCTTGGTCCTAACTGACCCTTTACCATTTGATTTTAAAAGTAACTATAAATAATATACAGTAAGGCCAAAATTAAAACAAATTTGTGAACAGAGTAACACAGTAAATAAAAAATAGTATTAAGGGGCTGGGAAGGTGGTTCAGTGCATGAGGCCCTGGGTTCAATTCCTCAGCACCACATAAGCAGAAAAAGCTGGAAGTGGCACTGTGGCTCAAGTGGTAGAGCGCTAGCCTTGAGCTGAAGAGCTGAGGGACACTCAGGCCCAGAGTTCAGGCCTCACGACTGACAAAAAAAAAATGGTATTAAGTTCTGCTAAAGAGAATCTTTTAGAAATCACTGCAACACTTGCTTTTTCTAATCAACAAAGGGAGAAACTTCATAAAGACTATATTGCAGAACACCTTCATATATGAGACAGAGACCTGTTCAAGGGAGACTGAAGGGCTGTCTGCTTCCAAAAGGCCATTCATGCCCATCAGAGGCGGTGCCTGTGAGGTTAGCAGTGAAGTTGATTTGCTTACTTTGTAGGACTGGGAGTGTCCAGCATGTGCTTTTGGTTCAATCCTCACTACCGCAAACCCATCTACTTGCCTTGGGCTAAGTTTGAGTGAACTCCTGTGGAAAGCAGGTGCTGGCCTCCACCTTGCAGAGGCAGAAGCCACATGGATAGAATGGGCAGGGACTGGAGCACTGTCCATCAGTGTTATGAGAGTAAAGGATGGCCTGGGATGGTCTGAAGAGTTTCTAGAGTCTCTGGATCTATGGCATAGTCATTAGGAGAAATGTCTCTAGTCAAATGAACCAGTCTTCAGCAATTTGGTGAAAATAGGCTTAGGTAGCTGAGGGTGCTCAGTACAGACACTTGCTGTGTCAGACACCCACTATGTAGGCCTTGATGCCTTGGTAAGACTATAAAAAGCTCCTGGAGAAAAATCACAGCCCAAGAGGAAGCCCCTTTTGGTAACTGTGGAACAATCTCGTGAGGTTGCTTAGGCCTCTAGGTTTTACTAAAACATAAAATTCGGGCACTGAGGAAAGAGCTCAATGGTAGAACATGAACTTAGTATGTGTGGATCATCTCCATCATCAAAATATACAACAGGAAATTGGAGGCTCTTTGTGCCTGCTCCCAGGTTCGGAAGGTCATCCCTGAGAAGTTTCCTGACACACATAAACCCAGTTTCCAGGTAAGACTTACCATACGAGGCCCGTGGGTGCTTCCCTGTAGACGTGCCCTCTAAGGCCCCTGTGGTCTCCCCAGGTGGCCCCGTGAGAGGGACAGTGCTGTCATCATTGGCCTTGGCACCTGGAAGCTCCCTAAAGACAGGAGATTCCACTTCTTGGACTTTACTGAGGCTTTCGTCAGATACTCGTGATAAAGCACCTTCTTTTTGTAATTTGCCTAGGAAAATAGAGTTGTAACTATAAATCCTGGAAGAGAATTCTTGCGACTGAATAATAATAATGAATGTTAGAAACTGTAGCACCTACTTTGAAAACAAAACAAAAAAAGGTTCTATCTAGATTAAGAAAATAAAAGTAGAAATCAACTATGTGGAAAATTCAGCTGTTGAGGAAAAGACGGGTACTTACGGTCTGAGTCAAGAGGGTTAGACATGTGACTTAGGCAACCTCAGAGGCAACATTCTGTACACCCACCACTGACCAGGCTGATCTCTGTTCTTAAACTAGCTGCAGAAGCCCTGAAATGTTTGTCCATTTTCTCTTCAAAGAGATTTGTTCTAGCATGGTGGTTTTCTTCTGGTAAATAAATTATTGGTCTCAGATTTTTTCATCATACCAAATTTTATGAAGGAAATAAAATTTTTAGGGAGGTCCTACTTACTTAAAAAAATCCTTGACTTTAAAATGAAACAAGGAGGCCAGGGTGATGGCTGGCACTGGGATCCTAGCACTCAGGCATAGACTAGGTAAGAGGGCTATTAGAGGCCAGGAGTTGAAGACCAGCTTAGGCAATACAGTGAGACACTGTCTCAAAACTGTAAAATAGCTGAGTGCTGGTGGCTTACTTTTTGTAATCCTATTTGGGAAGTTGAAATTGGAAGGATCATGTTTTAAGGCCAGCCCTGGCAGAAAAATTCATAAGACCTCTTCTCAACCCACTACTAGGTACATAATTGAGATCCTAGCAAAACCAGGAAGCCTGATTGCAGTTCAGAAGTGCACATGAATAGGAAGAGAAATCCTACCCTAAAAATAACTATGGTAGAAAAAAAATCAGAGCTGGAGGTGTGGCTAGTAGAATCACACTCAGTAACATAACAAAAAATGATGAGCAAAGGATTTCTAAAAAGCTGTTTTAAACCCCAATAGTTTCTTTTAAATCAAATCAGATACATGGTGCTGTTAACTCAATTATCTTGTTGTTTGGAAGTCATCTGGAGCAAACTTCTACGTTCTCACTTATAGAACTGAAAAGAAAACGCTCACAGATGATCTCTGTCTGTGTTGTCTATATGTCCTCTATGGCACACCAGAAAATGGACATAGGATCTCTGATCTCAAATTGTTTATAGTCTAGATGAGAGAAGACAGTATTTTTACGGGTAATAATAGGTTAACATTTATATGAGGAAGTTATTTTCTTGATTGTAAATAAACAACTGAGGCACAGTGAGATTAAGTTATTAGTCCACATTGTTATTGGCCTAAGTTTCCATAGGTAGTAAGTGGCAGAGCCAAGTTTAGATCTCAGGTCCATATCCTTTGTATTCTTTTTGTACTTAAAATAATACAAACAGAAGTGTATATTAGTATACCAAAATACACAGGACTGACGAAAAAGTCTCTTAGGAAGCAAGCAGGAGTATGAGAATTTCCTTCTGTGAAATCATAGCCAGACAGGTAGATAGCAAATATTTGAAGGCCTGAGGTTAAAGTTTAGTTATTAGGAGAATGTTTAAAAACCAAAGGATTTAGTGATACTTTAGCACTTCCCTTGGGGTAAATCAGGCAAGCAGTGTCAGTGGAGCTCACGGTCTGCACATATACTGGAGGTCATACTTTCTCTCAAAAGAGACCTGGATCCAGATTTATGGGAAAGGAAGGAGGGGCTAGTTTTTAGTCCATTAACAACATGGCTTTTAAAAGTTATCATTTCTTAATACACACAAGGAGGGGCTAGTTTTTAGTCCATTAACAACATGGCTTTTAAAAGTTATCACTTCTTAATACATACAGTGAACTGACCGCATGTGGGTGCTTGAGTCTTCAAAGATACACTGACTTGTATAGTCACCACCACAGGGAGATGTCAAGAAAGGAGTCAATCAGCCCCCAAAACTTGGATGGCACAGTCCGAATCACCAGTGACTGATCTGGTCTCTGACCCTACAGCTTGACCCTTTTTATAGTCATCTAGATAGGAATCACAAACTAGATAATTTTTTCACTCAGCATATGCAGGATTTAACCACATTGTTACAGGAACTGACAGTCTGTTGCTTTTACTTGGTGAGTAGCATTCCAGTGCATAGAGCACTAGTTTGTATATTCATTCTATGCATAAACTGGTTTGTTTCCATATAGGACCATAAAATGAAAGTATATCAAAATGAACTCCAAGAATTGGAAACAAGAGGTTCTAATTATGTCTTTTTTTTTTTTTTTTGGGGGGGGGGGGGGTGTGGTCGTGGGGCCTGAACTCTGGGCCTGGGCGCTGTCCCTCAGCTCTTCAGCTCAAAGCTAGTGCTCTACCACTTAAACTGGTTTGTTTCCATATAGGACCATAAAATGAAAGTATATCAAAATGAACTCCAAGAATTGGAAACAAGAGGTTCTAATTATGTCTTTTTTTTTTTTTTTGGGGGGGGGGTCTGGTCGTGGGGCCTGAACTCTGGGCCTGGGCGCTTTCCCTCAGCTCTTCAGCTCAAAGCTAGTGCTCTACCACTTGAGTCACAGCGCCACTTCCGGCTTTTTTCTTTTTGCTTATGTGGTGCTGAGGAATTGAACTCAGGGCCTCATGCATGCAAGGCAAGCGCTGTACCACTGAGCCACCTTCCCAGCCCCTCTAATTATGTCTTATATACAGTTATTTCTTTTTTTGTTCTGTTCCCTTTGTCTTGTATGTAAGTTTATCTGATCTGTGGAAGGGAAAGCGACTCACAGAAACAGCAGGACAAAGGATGAACTAATGCACTAGACACTATTATGGAAATGAACTTTACAACTTGGAAAGGAAGGGTGTGGGGAGGGGGTAACAGTGTTTAAAAATAAATGCATTTTGCACTGGCTGAGAATGTGGCTCAGTAGTAGAGTGCTTGCCTAGCATATATGAAACCCTGGGTTCCATTCCACTGTGGCTTAAGTAATAGAGTGCTAGCCTTGAGCAAAAGAAGCTCAAGGAGTGCCCAGGCCCAAGCCCCAAGGACTGGCCAAACCCCTCCCCCCAAAAAAACCCCACTTTATTACCTTGCTTATGTAACTATAACCCTCCTCTTTATCAGCTTTACAATAAAGATATTAAAAAAATAAAAATACGAACTTGTTTATGCAAGTAAGGGCAAATGTACTTCAAAAACTTCGGGAATTATAAAGAAAAAAAGGCACTACAAACATTCACAGATATTTGTGTCAGTTTAAATGTTCATTTCTCTAGGGAAATACCTAGGAGTGAGAAAGAGTATGTGATGACAGCAAATTCCCCAACTGTCTTCCACTTCCTTCATGTGTGATGACTTGTTACACAGAAGTCTTAAATCAGGAGCATTTTGTAATTCAGAAGAATAAAAATGGCACCTACCTGCTATTTTCCTCCGCATCCATGGACACACAAAGAGCCACACAAAGAGGGCAAACAGCAGACCCACACCAAAGGAAATGAGCACTATTGCCCACACCGGGAGAGTCAGGCCCAGCACTGGGAAAGGAAAACCAACAGAAGTATCACTGGTGAACCTGCATATCAATGTGCTTTCTGTTCCCCAATCTTAAACAAACTACTCCCTGATTTTGTACTTAATAAAATTCTCAGACTAAAGACATAGATCAGCAGTAGAGTGCCTGGCATGCACAAGACCTTGTATTTAATCTCTACCACCATAAAAACAAATAATCTCTCCCCCAAGCAACATCAAAAATGTCTCCTAACCAAAGCAAACATGTTGTTTGGGAGTAGAAAGTCCACATGTTAAACATACACTCCACGTGGTGGATATAGTCTTTCACTAGTTAGTATGCTAATTATCAAAATGCTACTGATTTGGTACAAAGAGCATATTAAGTTGGACATAAAGCTGTTAATTTCATCTTATGCTTGCATCCTGAGTAGACAAACATGGACGAGGCACAGTTTGGGCTACGACTGCCCTTCTGGTTTCCTGCTTGTTAGAAACTCTGCTTTGTAAATGGACTTGGTTCATTGGCCATGCACATAGGAATCTTTCTTAAATCAGCTTAGGAGTAAAACATTGTTCAAAGGACTCTGACCTTCAAATGTGACTCTCCTTTGAAGCATCAGCTTAAGGGATTACAACACAGAAAAACTTCCAATAAAACCAAATAATGCACACTGAGTAACAATTACACTAACCAATAAAAGAGCAGAAGTAGACATGGCTCAGGGACATCTTCTCTCAGCACTGCTTTGTCTGCATTTTGGCCAGCTCCCCTTATGGGGCAACAAGCACCTACCAGACAGTCTCAGAGTACAACCTGAATGTTAATGCCCACACATGAACATACAACATATAACCAAAAATACCTACACAGCACAATCTGCAATGGTAAAATTCTGCAGAAAACTAATCAACTGTCATGGAAATGGAAAATAATTAGAGTGCACAGTCATATAGGGAAGCAGGTCTGTGTACAGGTAGGGAAAGAGGCCTGATATTCTATAAGTAATACAGCCAGCTATATGATGTATATGCAACAGGGTAGATAGGCTCATTTCTTAGTACATATACTTTCACATTGTATATAAAATATATAATAGAATATTTGGGGGGGGGGGGGGGTCCTGGGGTTTGAACTCAGGACCTGAGTGCTGTCCCTGAGCTGTTTTGCTCAAGGTTAGCACTCTTGAGCCACTTGAGCCACAGATCCACTTCTGGTATTTTGGTGGTTAATTTGCAATAAGAGTCTCATGGACTTTTCTGCCCAGGATGACTTTGAACCACGATCCTCAGCTCTCATTCTCCTGAGTAGCTAGGATTACAGGCATGAGCCACTGGCACCTGGCTAAAATATTATTGCTATAAATTAGTTATTATTGTTAAAAAATTATGGAACCCTTCACGAGTTTGCATGTCATATTTGTACAGGGGCCATGCAAGACTTCTCTGTATTGTTCCAATGTTAGTGTATATGCAGCCAAAGTAAGCACACTTGCAAATTATTAAACATTTGAACTTGTACTTGCTCACACTGCTTGCTTAGCTGGAGCGCTATCACTTTAGCCATCCATACTTCGTGTTAAGCTTTTTTCCAGCTACTGTAGAGATGGGTTTCATAGACTTTTCTGCCTAGGCTGGCTTTGAACCTCAATCCTCCAGGTCTCAGTCTCCCAAGTAGCTAGTATTACAGGTATGAGCCACTAGCTGAAATTTTATTTTTCCTTTTTTTTGGGGGGGTGGAGGGGAGGCCAGTCGTGGGGCCTGAACTCTGGGCCTGGGCGCTGTCCCTCAGCTCTTCAGCTAAAGGCTAGCGCTCTACCACTTGAGCCACAGTGTCACTTCTGGCTTTTTTCTTTTTGCTTATGTGGTGCTGAGGAATTGAACCCAGGGCCTCATGTATGCAAGGCAAGCACTCTACCACTGAGCCACCTTCCCAGCCCCCTTTCCTTCTTTTTTATTTGTGTGTGTGTGTGTGTGTGTGTGTGTGTGTGTGTGTGTGTGTGTATACACACACACACACAAATATATATATATATTAGTTACACAAAGGGTTTTCAAATTTGCTCCCTCTCATTCCCCTTCCTTAAAACCATTTACATGGATTTCATTTTTCTATTTTCATATATGTGTTAAGTACTTTGACTACTCTCATTCTCAAAACCCTCTTTTTCCCTCCCTATTTGTTTCTTTTGAAAGAGTTATTTATGAAAACTTTCCTCATATATTTAGTGATGTAAGCTTTGTTACCTTATTATTTTATACAAACAAGCCAGCTCAAAGTTACTCGAAAGTATTTCTGAACATTTTGATAAGTGGAAGAGGTTTTAGGATGAGAAGCTGATATTAGAAATGGGGAGACAGAATTAATACATATAAATATTATAAATGAAACCCTAGAGCTCTTGTACTAGCTAGGGAGTCACAGGTTGGAATCTCAGTACTTTTACTGGTTACCCCCAAACTCTAGTGACATTACCATGCCAGGCTGTGCTGTGTTAATAGGCAGCCTGGCTCCCCACAGCTCTGTCTGTGAACCTGAGCCTGAACTGCTGGTAGAAACAGCACTCTCTCTATCCACTCTGGGGTATGCAGGCCGGTGGCCACAGCAGCTGGGCCTCTGTTTCATATCAGCATGTTAGTGTCTGCATACATGTGACAGGGTCACTCCAAGGCTGTTTCCTGCCCAACTGAGTGGTAGCTACTCATTTTCCACATCAAACTGATCTGCAAACATCCTACCCACCATTGGTTGCTTCCAAGCATTTGGTTTCTAAAGTGGTTTCCCCTTTGTGGCTTACTTGATAAAATTGTTACATGTGCTACTTTTGGCTTTGCCTACTGACCTGATCTAAGAGAGGCAAGGCCTGCATATTGTAGAGAAAGATAAATGATTTGGAATAAATTGTTGTTTTTTTAAATGAGTGAGCACTTTTGCTATCAAGCCCTATTTTTTAACATCCATGCTAACCAGGCCCAAAATAAAAGTAAAGAACATTTTCCCATGCTTCTGAGCCAATCTCCATACTTCTAAGTCAGGGCCACATGGTCCTACCAATCAAAATGGGAAAGTGAGGTTGGTTACAAGATTTCTGGATCCTTTACTTAGACAACTGGACACCGTATCACACCTGCCCTTTGTAACTTTGCTATCATACCTTCCATTGACAGTGATTTGGCCTGGAAAATAGCCAGAAAATGATGAGATGACTCTCTATGTCATGAGAAACTAGAGGAAAACAGACAACGCCTGGGGGTAGAAGGGTACAAATGTGAGGGAAGAGGAGGAAGAAATGGAATCCAAGAAAATGGAGGGAATGTTGTTCATAGTAAGAGAGGACAGAGGACCAGGATGGAATAGTGGTCTTAGCAAATTATCCTAGCAATAAAGAAATGTACTTAACAGATTAGCAAAGAATATTATTATTATTATTATTTATTTTTTGCCATTCCTGAGGCTTGAACTCAGGGCCTAGATGCTGTCCCTAACTCAAGACTAGTGCTCTACCATTTCAGCCATAGCTCCACTTCTGTTGTTGTTTTATTTATTTATTTTTTTAATTCGGTGGTTAACTGGAGATGAGAGTCTCAGGGACTTTCCTCCTGGGCTGGCTTCAAACCACAATCCTCAAATCTTAGCCTCCTGAGTAGCTAGGATTACAGGCATAAGCCACCAAAGGCTGGCCACAATTATTTTTAACACCTAGATAAAATAAATGAAATTGACATTTATGTTATCCAGCTCCAAAGTAGACAATCAAGATTTGATAGCTAAGAAACTATTCAGTACATTTAGCCTACAAAAGCACTCAAGCGTGGTGTGATGGCTCACACTGGTAATCCATCCCAGTACTTAGGAGGCTGAGGCAGGAGCATCATCACTTTCAGGACAGCCTGGGCTTTTAAAAGGTTTCTTCCTTTTTTTTTTTGTTAAAGGCTCTTGAATTAATATACACCTAAGGCAAAACATTTTTCTTCTTAAATTCAAGTTTGTCTTATATACATTTTTGACAAAAATACTTTGTAAAAGATTGTCTTCCTGGTGAGGCTTTCAAATTGTTTCCAAATAATTACACCTTCAGAGGGCACTGGGCCTGGCTCTAGCTTCCTTCTGTGGAAAGACAAAATAGGGCACAGCTTGAATTGCTCCTGTCCACTCAGCCAAGAACAGCGTCCAGGCACCAGCACTGGGCTCTTACCCTCTGTTCTCTGCACCAGCCACTACATGGCCTTTCATCTCAAGCTCCTTTCATTTTCTAAACAACAAAATATGATGAATGATTTAGCCCTAACCTCAAATATCTTTACAATTCTGTCCCAAATCCCCGGAATATCAGATCATCATCCAAGTCATTTAAGGAAGAAATGAATACAACTTTTTATATAAAAAAAAGATTTTATCTCCACTGTCATTACTTGATTTAACCTTTAGTTTTTCACAGGTTACAATCATTACTATGAGCTGTACAATGTCATATACCTCATACTTTTTTGTTTTAATTTTATATATAATACAGGCTTATTGTAAGGATATCATAAGGACCCACACGGAACTGTCTGATGTACAAATATGATATTCCCTGCCACATTCCCTCTTGCACTCACTTCCCAGAGAAAAGTGGGGGGGGGGGGGGGACTATCTGCTGTTGTCTTTTCAGGCATTTTCTAGTTCACTACAAATACACAGTGTGAGGCTTGCATGGGTTTCTTTTTTAATGTTTTACCTCTTCATATAACAGCAATAGGATTACACTACGCACATGCTATGCTTTGTCACACAATGGTAGACTGTGGACCACCCTTCTACACGTTCATACATGCACACATAGGTTGACTTGCTTTGCAGGTTCTCCTTACTAGCATGCCTCACTTGAGAAAATTCACTTACTGGTCTTTGTTTTACACCAACTTTTCAAACATCTGAGGAACCACCAACATAAAAGAAAGGCTGGGAAACTTAACAAAAACATATATTTAAAAAAATGCTAGCACTGGGGCTTAAACTCAGGACCTGATTGCTGTCTTTCAGAAGCCTTTTCATTCATGGCTGGTGCTTTACCACCTGCACCACAGCTCTACTTCTAGAATTTTGGTACTCGGAAATAAGAGTCTCACGAACTCTCCTACCAGAGCTGGCTTTGAACCTCAATCCTGATCTGTCTCCTAAAAAGTAGTTAGGATTACAGTTGTGAGCCACTGGCATTTGGCAAAAATATGAAGAATACTTTTGAAATAAAATATGGTCTCAGTTGTAGAGTGAGGGGAAAAAAAAAGCTCAGGGACAGTACCCAGGCCCTGAGTTTTTGCCAGTACCCGCAAAAAAACAAAAGATTAAAAAAAAAAGAGTGACAGTAATGATCAACATTAAGGGGTTTTGATAAGTGGCAAGGCAAGAGAATCACCTGTGGGTTTGAGGTTACTAAACTGTAAGCTGCGCTGGTGCCATTTTGGCTCCTTATTGAAATACAAGTTGCTGGACTTCAAGTATTTCCTAGGCTCAGGCTTGGCCTAGAGAATCAAGTTACTAAGTGATGCTGATGTGGCTGATTTTTGGCTCTCATTTGGACTTAGAAGCTCTCTTAACTACCAGAGGCTTAATCATGAGATCTATTTTGCCTATTCAAAGAGCTGTGATCAAGTAAAGCAACCATTATCTAACCACTGAACAAAAACCAGGCCTCACAGAAAAGGTATTTTCAATGAAAAATAAACTTTTGGCTTGTATCCAACTGAAGTACATAAGCACTTTATTTTCTAAGGTTATTTTTGGTTCTTGTTAATCATATTAAGGACAAAAATGCAAAGACTTTTTAAAGTGAAAACTCAAGTCTCTGAAGTATACGAATGATTTTTGAGGTAAGTCATGTCAGATGCAAAGCACAACAAATCAAATTAGCTTAAGCTATAAACAACTTCACAATAATTTTGAGTGGAGGAACAGAAGAAACCAAAATGAAATACTATAACGCAACATCCAGCAAATCCCCATTTAACTCTTTTCCATGCATAACAATGCCATTAATCAAGATCTCTTAAGGTTATCATTATTGTCACTCTTTTTTTTTTTTTTGCCAGTACTGGGGCTTGAACTCTGGGCCTGGGTGCTTTCCTTGAGCTTCCCTCCCTCCCTCCCCCTCAAGGCTCACACTCGCCACAGCACCACTTCCAGCCTTTTTTTTTTTTTTTGAGTGGTTTACTGGAGGTAAGAGTCTCACAGACTTTCCTGCTCGAGCTGGCTTGGGACCACAATCCTCAGATCTCAGCCTCTTGAGTACCCAGGATCATACTGGTGAGCCACCAGCACCCAGTATTGCCACTCATTTTTGTTGAAGAACTTTTATATTTTTATTTCTGTAGCTCCTACATATTGCATAAAAATATACTAATGAAGCAAGGAGCCTAGGAAGAATAAATTGTAGACAGATAACAAAGAAGGTATTTGTTAAGGGGACAATGGACTTGGTCACTCTTCTCAGCTCAACCTTGTCACAGATATGTCAATATGGCTACTTAAGCTACAGCTGGCAGGAAGATACCTATATGAGGAAAGAGTGTGTAATTAAAGGGCAAATGATAACCTTCAATGCTTGAAGAGAAAGTTTGGACCCACCTACTAGATAGTCTAAAAACAGAGTATTTTTAGAACCAAATATTAACAAATCTTTTTGTTGATTATTGGTGGAATGAAATAGTAGTCTTGTGAAGTCATGACCTTTTTCTTCTTCCTAGTCCTCCATATAAGCCTGGAGGAAACCTGTCAAATTATGACTGAAAAAGATGCAGTGATAAATAGCCACTACCTAAACACACATTAGGAGCTTACTTAGTTATATAAGGTCTTCAGTTTTGTTCTGGAGCTGACCTTGAACTATGATTCTCTTACCTGTACCCCACTGTGTAGCATGGATCACAGCATCACATGGTCATACCAGCCTTGTTAGTTGAGATAAAGGTCTAATTAACTTCTCCCCGCTCTCCTTGAACCACAAAATCCTCCCCATCCCTGCTTCCCAAGTACCTGGGATTTCAGGCCAGGCCCTACAGATGGCTTCTGAGCTCTCTAAACCTGATTATCAAATGCTGCTACTTGCTTGTACTTGTGCTAGGTGTAGTGCTACCTTCTTCTCCTGGCCCACCAGAGCTCAGTGGTTATGCACAACATGAGACTCAGAAAGGCTCAATAAACTGCTAAGCAACACAGGTAGGTAACTAGTGGAATAGGGCTTTAAAATTTTAAATACACTTGGTGCCTTGTAGTGTACATGTCTCTCAGCTACACAAAACAAGGAAATAAAGATCACTACTCTATTTTACAGCTCTTGAATCATGAGCAATGCAAGTCAATACAAGTTAAGAAGGGCATCTTACCTGGTGCTCCTGTGTACATGATGGAAAAGACATTTATTGCTATCGTAGCAGCATAGAACAGAGGAAGTGCTCGAAGACCATTGGGAACGGGGTCTTCCTATGTGATAATGAGATAGAGTAAAGTCAGAACAGAGAGCATCGAACAGACAAATAATGGAAGACACTGCTACATCAGTTTCTCCCAAAGGCTCTAAGGGCTGCCTGTAACCTGCTGCATGGGCCAAGACCATCTCCATGGAGAGAAGTGCAGTTTCAGAGCCAGCATTGTGACAGCAGACACAGGAACTCTAGAGTCACATGAGCTGATGTCAGATTTAGAAACAGAACAGCACTGTTACAGACACCCATGCCTGGGGACTGAAGCCCAGAGCTCAGAACCTTCTTCTTCAAACCCGTGAAGCCCAGTTCAAGTTTGCTTCTAATTGTCTACAGCCAGCAAATATTCTGAGGCTGTCATATTTGAGAACTCACTAAGAGGTTGAAGAACTTAGCCAACATAGTACTACTGTTAGATTTTTCATAAGTCTATGGCAGAGTATGTTTTAGCTATACTAAAATGCACAGTGCTGGGCTGGGAAAGTGGCTCAGTGGTAGAGTGCTTGCCTTGCATGCATGAGGCCCTAGGTTGGATTGCTCAGCACCACATAAGCAGGAAAAAAAAAAAAAAAAAGGCCGGAAGTGGTGCTATGGCTCAAGTGCTAGTGCACTAGCCTTGAGCTGAAGAGCTGAGGGACAGTGCTCAGGCCCAGAGTTCAGGCCCCACGACCGGACCCCCCCCAAAAAATAAATAAATGAAAAAAATAAAATAAAATACACAGTGAATATACTCTTCCACATACTTTTCAAAATGTCTTCTTAAAGTAAAGAATTTAATCTCCAACTATTGTAAGTTAAGAATTATGTGTTTTTAATCTAATAAAGTATTTGTAACTTTAGGCTTCTGTGACAGCAGTCTCTCAATGTAATGCGCCAGCAAGAATGGACTGCATGTGTTTGAAGTTAACCACATCTGAGAAACAAACATGTAGGATTTCCTGAGTCTCCTCTGGCAGTTGTCATGGGCCCCTTCATCATTCCCATTCAGTAGGAAGTAGCCAGAGCAGAGCTCAATGCCCTCAATGTCTCAACAGCAGTCAGGGAAAACTCGGGGGGGGGGGGGGGGGAGAATAAAGTAAAATATCAGCCAACTGGTTCAGGCCAGCTTGCCCCCATCTCAACCAGTGGCCACCATCCAGGAAAAGGTCTTAGGTCTTGCCATAACCCAAACTGGCCTTCCTATAAGCCACATTCTGTGGCTACCACCCAGAGGGTCTTACTTTTTTTTTTTTTTTTTAACAAATCAATCACTATCTGAAAAATTGCCAAGAGGGAGGAGAAAAAGGTGGGAGGGGCAATACAAAGCATTTGTTGAATAACTGGTTTCCTGGTCCCACTGCTCACTCTGCTGAGCGCCCTTTACTTTCTCTTTACTAAATAACTCTTTACAATTGTGCAAAAAAAAAAAAAAGTAGGATTTGTTGTTGTTTTGGCAGTACTGGGGTTTGAACTCAGAGCCTGCATTTGCTTGGTTTGCTTGCATGGCTGGTAGTCTACCACTTGAGCCATGTCTCCAGATTAGCTTTTTGTTGGTTATATTGCATATGGAATCTAAGCAGACTTTTCTGCCTAGGCTGGCTCCAAACCATCATCTTCTCAGTCTTACCCTCCTGAGTAGGAAGATTATAGGTATGAGCCACCAGTGCCTAACCAGAATTATAGTTTTAAGCAGGCCCACAGAGGATTTGTGAAGCACTCACATGGGCCAGGAACTCCTCAGTGTAGCACTGACACATACATGTTACAAAAATAACCAATAATAAGAGAACGTTCTTGTAAACTTATATGAACATGTTGCCTAACAACAAGATAAAAAGGAAAATTAGGTGTGGAAACTGAGTTGAGTTCTAGAATTAAGGATTAGCAAAGACAATGTGAGAGACACATTGTGTGTCCAAACATGAGGCTTTTTGCAGTCCTCAAGAACTGATGGCTGCCAGGTGCTGGTGGCTCACATTTGTAACCTAACTGTTCAGGAGGGTGACATGTAAGAATCATGTTTCAAAGCCAACCCAGACAGGCAAGTCTGTGAGACTCTTATCTCCAGTTAACCATCAAAAAAGCCAGAAGTGGAACTGTGCTTCAAGTGGAAAAAGGGCCAGCCTCAAGAGAAAAAGCTAAGGGGATAGGTCTACTCAGGCCCTGATTCCAAACTTCACTACTGGCAGGCAGGCAGGTATGCGTACACATGCACAAATTATCTTGACAGTTCTCAAGAGGATAGGCAGTGAGGTAAAGGAAATGTAAGGGCAGGAGCAGGGCAGGAGCAGGACATGATTCAATTGACACAACTGTGTCGTGCTACAGCCAGGATAGAGAGGAGAAGGAAAGAGAAAACACCAGGATGAATGGGCTGTAGCAAAGATGAGAGCCAGGCCAGTGTGCCTGAGCCAGCATGATGAGCCCACAAAAGAATCCTGGGATGAACTGAAAAAAAGATAAGAGGATTTTCTGACGCTTATGACCTCTGGCTTCCAAAACCACTCAATAGTGGATTGTTTTTTTTTTAAGGTAAAAAAAGTCTGAGTTTATATTTTTAAACTGAATCACTTTATATTTTCCCAAACATCCTAGTCTTTTTTGGTAGAGCATGGGATGGAATTCAGTACCTCACATGTGCTAGACAAGTGCCTAGCTAAACTATACTCCTGACCAAATAACCTACTCTTAAAACTTGAAAGAAAATATCTCATTGAGACTTGTCTCCTTCTTCTTTTGTTCCTGTTTTCCTCCCGCTCTTTCTTTCCTCTCTGTCTATTCTTATCGGTATCTCATCCAGGAATCCCTCAACTCTCTCTTACCAAATATTTAACAAGTGTCTTTAAAATACTAAGTATACTGGTATACAGCAGTAATTCAGACTGTCTTAGTGTCCATCCTCACAGATTGTTCAATCACACAGGCAGGTAAATGAACATAAAATGAAACACTGTACCATGCACCACACACAGTGCAATAGTGAGAACACAGAGATGTAGGAGTAGAAACCAGGTAACCAATCACAGGTCGTCTTCCAGGAAGTGACACCTGAAGGTAGGATCTGAGCAGAGGAAAGAAAAGACTGAATGCATGAAAATATGAGTGTGTGTTCAAAAAGAAACGTTCTCATTACCTGACTATGTAACCGCAACCCTTCTGTACATCATCTTAACAATAATAATAATAATAAAAAAAAAAAGGTGGGGAGTGCGAACACTAAAAGCCCTGAGAAGGAACGGTGAGAAATGAAATAGCAAGTGTGTACTTAGTCAAGAGAAGAGTCCTTTCATTGAATAGTAGGCAATGCCAGGAAAAAAGAGCTTATTTTCAAGCAATAACAGTTGAAGGAAGGCATATATAGATACGCTCATGTGAGTATGTAACTGGATTCCTGAAACTATACATTCTACCATACTGTAGAAACAATACATTGCCTCGTAAGCATATACAGTTGTGACAGTTTAGTTACCTGCATGTGGTTGTTTTCTGAAAATATTTGAGATGAAAAGAGGTGTATGACATTGTCACTGTGACACAGCATTAGGATTCTAATAAGAGCTACTGAACATAAGGTGTTACCATAGTGCCTAGGGGATGTGCTGGCTGAAATAACAACCAGGTGACGAATGCTGGGTAGCATGCAGTGTGACACGTGTTAGGTAAATGCTGGACATGGTTCACATCCTCAGCAGCTTGGAACAGGAATAGCGACAGAGCTCATCACACTATGTAGCATGCAGTATGAACTTTTGAATTTTCCATTTAATATTTTTAGACCATGGGTGGCTGTGGGTAAGTGAAATGGCAGGAAGTACAATATAAATAAGGAAATACTACTATACAATACAACCAAAGGTAGACTTTATGGCTAATAAAGCACTGCAACAAATCAACCAAGAAGACATGGTGATAGTTTTAAGAATATATACACACATAATGATGAAATATGTCAAAAAAGTTGATTACAGAGAATATAGAATGGAGGTCACTAACAGAGTAAGAAGGAAATATGGAAGAATAGTGAATAATGGGTACAAAAGTATAGTTAGATAGGGAAGTAGTTTGCCACAGCTGAGATCTTCAATGCCCTAAAGTCCCATATATTAAAGGCTTGGTGTCCAGTCCATGGCACTAGTAGCAGGTGATCTGGGCCTAGTAGAATGAAATTAGGTCATTGAGATCATACTCTTAAAGGAAATGTGCCCTTCCTCTCTTTGCTTCTGGGCACCATGAGGTAAACAGGTTCCCTTCATCATAAACTCATGCCACGATACACCATGTTATCAAAGGCCCAAAGCAAGACAGCCAAGTAACCATGGACTGCAATCTCTAAAATTTTGAACCAAAATAACTTTCCTCCTTAAAAGTTATTATCTCATGATGTTAGGAAAATGAACCCTTAGATGTGTATTTAAATGTTTTTTTCTTTCATGTATTTGTTTCTAACTCATTTATACGATTATCTCTTTGTAGCTTTGTATGTCCCTCCCCCACAGTATAACCCCTGCTTTCACTATATTTGATGTCGGTATAATTTGTGGAGGAGATAGGGAAAAACAAGTCGTTTAAGGATACAGGTGGACCCGATGCAACTATGAGAAGTACAAGTTGTCATGTCAAAAACGAACTTTACAACTTTGGTGCGGGGGGTGGGGGTGGGGGTGGATGGGGGGCAGGGGGAGGCTGGGAAGGGATGTGAAAGGTAAACAAAGGAGGAGGCTGCAATGCTTGATAAGAAATGTACTCATCATCTTGCCCATGTAACTGTAACCCCTCTGTACAGTATGTCCACAAAAAATTAAAATTAAAATTAAAAAAAAAAGAAAAAAAAAGTTACTATCTCAGGTATTTTGTCACAGAGATGGAAAGTTGCCTAAGACAGGGCTCTAATGTTATAAGGCACAAGAAATCAGTTTCCCAAAATAACTACTGAAGTATTTGAAGGTTCCAAATACATAGAAATGATAATATTTAAGGAAATGTAAATGCTATTACTCTGATTTGATTGATATATACATAAATTGAAATTGAACACTATCTCATACTTTATTATATTCATTTGAATTAAGAAAATAATTTTTAAAAGTTAAATAAAAATAATCATTTTTAAAATAATACTGATCTCAAATTTTATATCTTTAATCTTATATGACAAATGTATCCCCTGTATTTCTTTTTTTTCCCCCAATTACTTCCTCAAATTAAGTCAGTATTTTGAGTTCATTTTATCTATTAGCAGGTACCTTTACATTTGGGTAAGGAGATTATCCAGTTGCTTTTAGTGATTAGTCAACTTCAAAACCTTAACATCATCTCATTTTATTTTATTTAGCAGTCAGGAAGTGATTATCTTTCATTTTTGAGGTCTAAGCACAGTTCCAGGGAGTGCTAACTAAGGAAAGAAGTCTCAAACTGAGTGCTAGTGTATGTAGGCCACTGCACACTTCTCTGGGGTTCACTCCAGCAACTTAGATGATAAAGCATGACCATAACTCCACTTTTAAGGCCCACTTAACAATATGAATGCAATTCTCTTTCTAATTCCACCCAACATTAATTTCTGCTGAGCAGGACCAAAATTAGTTCTGAAATTTAATTTAAAAAATAACAGCATCCCTTACCTTTTTTAAGATGAACATTCTGATCAGTACAAACAGCACGCCAGACATGAAACCAGACAACAGTGGAGATATAAACCAAGAAGCAACTGAGTGATTAAAAAAAAATCTAATGAATGTTAAAATTCATAAATAATTATGGTCATGTTTATATAACACAATAATAACCAATATATTACATACATTAATAAATATTCTCAGAATTTTTTTTTTTACCTTAACTCGGAACTCTCCTGACTTCACCCATGCATAGCTCTACTCTAGCCATGTATAACTGGTTATACTGCCAGGTCAGTGGATCACTATTCTTAAATTTTAGATTTAGAGACAGACTCCTTTGCTTCCCACTGAACCTTTTACCTGCTTTTCTTATCAATACATATGGAGACCAGGAACTTGATCCAATAGTGAGGTTATTTAAAAGCAGGCCACTTTGTATTTCCTTGCCAAGACCAGCCTGGTACTTTGATTTCTGACACCTAACAACTAGAACTCTAACTTTAGCATCAAGCCTTGCAGCTCCAAGCTATGGCTACACAGTATAAACATCTTGGAGGGAGGGGGGGTTAATAATACGGTTATATTCTTGCTCTAACCCTAGAATTCTGATTGATTTTAAAGGTTTAGAATCAAGTCTAGTCATTAATATTTTTAAATTGCTCCCCTGGGTAGTTCTAACATTAGAGTTGAGAACTGAGGTTCCAGATCTAACGCAGTTTCCCTGGTGGTCTGTGTTCCTGCTTGGCAGGTCAGAAGCCAGTGTGACCTACAGCTTCTGAGGCCACAGTGAGCCTGATAAAAGACTGAACAACCAAAAGCTAAGAGATGGGGTGAAGGAGTATTTTTACAGCCAGGTGGGTTGGCATTATAGAGTTGATTTATAAACTGACATATTGCAGAGTCAGGAAGTCAGTTGTTAGATTTGTGGAAATGGGTACAGGTCTACAAGGAACACTAGTGCTTCTCTAAAGAGCGTAGACTGGATCATCTCTTTGTGTGTGTGTGTGTGTGTGTGTGTGTGTGTGTGTGTGTGTGTGTGTGTGTGTGTGTGTGTGTGTGTGTGTGTGTGTGTGTGTGTGTGTGTGTGTGTGTGTGTGTGTGTGGCGGTGGGTGCGGGGGAGGGGGGGGGAGAAGAGGGCTAGACCACTACCATCCATGTCTCTACTACTTGCTTTTTGCTGATTAATTGCAGATAAGATATCTCAGATTTATCTGTCTGGGCTGGCTTCAAGCTAAGATCCTCAAATCTTAGCCTCCTCAGATCTCAGCTAGGATTACAGGCATGAGCTTCTTTCTCATGCTTAGTTTGGATCATTTCTTGACCTCAGAGAGGTAAATGACAACAGGCTTTACCATGATCACAGATACTGACTCCTTGAGATTCAAGGCATTACCTTTACTCAAATTTATAGTCTTTCTCTGACTTCTACAATGATTTAAATAAAAATGTTCTTTTGCTTGGAAAGGCTAGATATTGATTTTCAAAGCTGGATGATGATGTAATGTTTTTTAAAGAGAAGAGTTAAAGAAGTTCACAGTTCACAGTCTCTAGTAAGAGAAATTTACAGGGAGACTTCATTACCCATATAATGTAGGTCTTCTAAACCTTAACATTTTAAGGGGAAAAACACATGATAAAAACAACTTTTAATAAAACTTACTCTAGCAAAGGTAATTTTCCTTCTTATAGGTAAAAGAAAATGGCAATTACCAATCTTGACAAGCTCCATCCACTGCACACCCTTTGTACCAATTGCAACAAGTGAGAATCCTATAGTGGAGCCAACAATGCAGTGAGTTCCTGAAACTGGAAGTCTCAGGAAGGATGCAATCAGCTGCCAAACGGCTGAACCTATGGACAGAAAGATTAAAAAAAACAATCAGACATAAAGTAGAATCTGAGCCCACAACCAAGAGAAGAAATCCAAACTTGTTCTCCACAGCGACATCTCCCAGTTTAACTTCCTATGGAGTTAATTTACAAGTGCTAAGGTCCTTACAAAAATCACTCAACTTTAGTAAACCTTCTCAATACAGCAGATAATAACTGTTTTATAGATTAATAACAAGATTAATAGATTATAGATTAATAACAAGCCTGTCCAAGGGTGCAGTTGGGCTACAATCAAGCAAGAAATAAAGTTTCTACTATACTTAGGAAAGAAAGGAAAATGACTGAGGGGAAGTTTTGTTACCATGCCTTCTATAATGAGGGCTAATGACAAGTTAGTCTATGTATGAGAGCACACTTTAGTACTTTTACTTAGTATTTTTATTAGCATCCAATAGTTATACAGAGCTTGCTTTTTGATTTTTGCCTCCTTCAAGAAAAATAACCAAGACTCTGCTGGGTTTCTTAGGAGCTTCAAATGTGGCTTTGTATACTTTTACCTCCAGTCCATCATTCTTTTTAGGCTTCATATTTTTCTAGGCTATAGTTCACCTCAGACACTTTCATAAGCAGATCAGATTTTGCAGTGAGTATTAAAAGCATCAGCTGTGAGAGATCACTTTCGGGGTACTTGTTGAAAAGCTTGTTCTGAACTGTATGGGAATGAAGAGGATGGCTGATAAGCTGGGCATATTATTATTTCCAATTAGCTCTGGAAACCTGGTTGCTTGGCAACAGAAGCAACTTTAAGCAGACCTCTGCATTTCCTTCAAACTATCTGAGCTACTGAAGGGTCATTTATGGTCCCTGTTTGTGAAGCAATGCGGACAGCTGATCCAGCAGAGGTCGGGCCTGCTGACCTTTGGGCTGAAACCTTTGAGCTGAAGCCAGCTGTGACCCCATGTATATCCTTAACACTTGTGCTGGGAGATGAAGGGGATGTTACTCTGCCAAATGGTGATAGGCTCCATGGCTGTATTTGGGTTTTTCCTGGACAGTTCCTTAGGACTTACCTCTGAGGCCTGGGCTCCACAGAGACTGATTGCTTTTAAAATGAAAGCAGACCTATAATCCTAACACTAAGGAGACAGAGGCAAGAGGACTTGAAGTTCTAGGCCAGCCTGGGCTACATAAATTCTGAGCCAGTATTGGCTATAAGACCTGTCTCAAAAAACAAAAACAAAACAACAAATCAAACAAAAAACAAAACAAAAAATACTTTACCACTTTAATAGTGTGTGTGTGTGTGTATGTGTGTGTGTGTACATGGCGCATGCGAGTGTGCACGGGACATGCCTGGGCTCATAGTCAGGGCCTGGGCACATTCCCTGAGGTTTTTTTGCTCAAAGCTAAAGCTCCATCACTTAATCCACAGCTCCACTTTCAGCCTTTTGGTGATTAATTGAAGAGTCTCACAGACTTTCCTGCCTTGGCTAGATCCAAATTGTGATCCTCAGATCTCAGCCTCTTGAGGAGCTAGGATTACAGGCGTGAGCCACCTGCACCTGGTTCCCCACCCTTTTTGCAAATTCCTCCAGGCATATTTTTGAAGTCAGCAAGAGAAACTTTCAGGAGCAGCTTTCAGGAAGGAAAGTCTGTGAGACTCATCTCCAATTAACCACCAGAAAACTGGAAGTGGTGCTGTGGCTCAAGTAGTAGAGCACTGGCCTTGAGCTGAAGCTGAGGGACAGCGCCCAGGCCCAGATCCACAACTGACAAAAAAAAAAAAAAGCAGGTGGGAATACTGGAAGAAAAAAAGAGGAGCCAGGGAAGACTGAAAAGATGAGGAACTGATGAAGGTAAGTGGGACTACAAGTGAGAAGAAGAAGAAAAATGGATGTCTTATGTGAGGTAAGGACATCCTACAAAGAGGGAACGGATAAGTCATGGGATGGATGAAACCTAGGGAAAGTGGGAGGTGGACATGCCTCAGGCAATGACAGAGCTAAGGCTCAGGGTCACACTGGAGGGGACCGCTAGGTGTGTGTCAGGGCGGGACACAGCGGAGCAAGCTGGAGGGCAAGCAGGGCTATGAAGACTTGAGGAGGATTGTGCTCAAGCCAATGGTTTCTTATGCTAGGGTGGGTGCCTCAGAGGGAGAAGATGACAAGGTCTGAATTCCCTGTAAGATTTTGGAACCATTAGTGGAGTCACACAAAGTAGATTGACTTGTTTTAAAGCTGAGTGACTCTCAAAATATAAACTGTTTAGGAAGCTTGAATGGCATTAACAATTCTTCTACTCAACCAACTTATTTCCAGCACAACTTTATCAGAAAGCACAGAGACCTATGGCTGAAGAAGTTACTAAGAAAATCAAGAAAAACAGAATAGAATAAAAGGGTGGGGAGAGGGAGAAGAATTAGTAGACTTTAGAAGAGAGAGGGAGAAGTCAAGATCTGAACAGAATTAGCTTTTTGTCCAATAATGACCACCATATTAAATTCACATAGCTCCCATTTGTAAGGAATTCAATTTAAAAAATCTAGGTAACATACTTTTCTTTTTAAGAAGGGGTTTTGAGAGTCATATACCCACACATCAGGAAAAAAAAAAAAACGAGAAGAAAAAGAAGAAAGAAAGAAAGAAGCCAAAGCAAACAATCTTTGTTATTCAAGCAAACCTCAAATTGCTTTGGTAAACCCAAACTATAGTTGAGGTAAAAATCCTTCATTCTTTCAGTAAAGAGCCAAAACTTAAAGGAGTGGGGTGGGAGGAAGACTAGAAACTGGAGAAATTATACTAAAAAATTAGTAATTATAATAGTAGTTATAAAAAAAAATTAGTAGGTACATGAACTCAGTTCACAAAACTGGGTCAAAATGAAACCCTCCATATAGCCTCCTAACAAGGGTCCTACAAGCACAGCATCTCTTTAAGTCTTACCTAACAGGGAAGCTCCAGCTAGGCCTTGTTCTATCAGGATTTTTCTTTATTTCTTTAATACTTTTAGTAAGTCTTGTCCATATTACAATTGGCAAGGAAAACCTTAATTTTATTTTAATATGATTAAACCATAGTTATCTATACATGAACGTCATGGATGAACTTAAGAAAATAGTTACTTTTTTTTTTTTGGTTGGTCGTGGGGCTTGAACTCTGGGCTTGGGCGCTATCCTTCAGCTCAAGGCGAGTGCTCTACCACTTGAGCCGCAGAGCCACTTCCCGTTTTCTAGTGGTTTATTGGAGTCTCATGGACTTTCCAGCCCGGGCTGGCTTTGAACTGTGATCCTCAGATCTCAGCCTCCTGAGTAGCTAGGATTACAGGTGTGAGCCACCAGCACCAGGCTAAAATAGTTACTTTTCTAAGGGAAGTTTCAATTAATTTGACTATACTGAGAAATATATACATAAAAAAGTAAGTAAAATTTAGTAATTACAATAGCTGTTGACATTAAAGCAGCCCTGGCTTTTCTATCTGTGTAACATAAAATATTAGAACTAGAAACCTCAGATCTTGAATTACCTGGCTACTGTACCTTTATTATTAAATACCTTAGCATATCAGTCTGCTTCTGACTAGGGGGCCTTCAACTGACTTATCTACAAAAAGATGGTGGGTTAACCCTCTCCACATGCTGGGTGCTTAAGGAATGCTAGTGACAAATGACTAGGGACCTGTAAAACATGACTGTGTTGTTGGTACACCAGCATCTTACCTCCCACTGCAGGACTCTTCCTTTAAAAGGAGATGTCCTGTTGAAAGCACAAGGTGGTGGAAACCATCTCTAACCTCTTTTCCCTAACCAAATTACCCATAAAGATCAGCTGTCTGCTGTGACGGCATCTCTACCTAGAGGCAAACAGAGAGAGTCCTGTCAGCTGTACTTGGAGGTTCCGCCTGAATTTTCTTTCTGCTATAATAAAGGCAGAAAGGGAAGGCTTACACAGGGCTTCCTCTCTTAAAGTCACTATGGTAATGGAGAAATCACACTGTCCACCCAGCTAATTTTACTCACATTATCACTCACCTCAATTCTTCATCTGGGCAACTTATACCTAGTCATAAACGATATACATACAAGTGATCTTTTAGCCAGAAAGGAAAACATGCATATCAAATAAAGCTCCAAGGGGATAGAATCAGAAAATCCAAACAAAAGCCAACAAAAACATTACAAATAATGCTGAAGACCAGAATTTCTCAAAACATAAGCACCTGCTTAATATTCACTTGGTAATGGCTCTAGAGTCAAAAAGCCAAATTAATAAATACTGGCATTTTCTTTGTTTCTTGGTGCTGGGACTAAACCCAAGACCTTGTTCATGTGTTCACCCACTAAGCAATACCCAAATCCAAAAAGTATTCTTCTTTTTGTTGGTGTGGTACTAAGGCTTGAACTCAGGACCTGGGCTTTTTCACTCAAGGATAGGGGTCTGCCACTTGAGCCATAGCTCCACTAAAAATATTCATATTATTTTGCAGTGCTGAGGGTTGAACTCGGGGTTTCATGCATGCTAGGCAAGTATATTAATTACTAAACCCCAAACATTATTTTTTGACAACTACATTTTCAAAATAGTGCATTCTGATGAAAAAAAAAGACAAGAAAAAATATATATCAATATGTATGAAAATTTTATAGGTAAAAATTTTAAACAAGTCAGTGCTGGTGGTGCAAACCTGTAATCTAGCTGCTCAGGAGGCTAGATCTGAGGATCACGGTTTGAAGCCCGGGCAGGAAATTTCAAGATAACTCTTATCTCCAATTAACCACCTAAAGGCCAGAAGTGGAACAATGGTTCCAGTGGTAGAGCACTAGCCTTAAGTAAAATAACACAACAACAACAATGATAATAAAGCTCAGGGACAGTATCCAAGGCCTGAGTTCCAGCCCTTGGACTAGTACACATGAAAAAAATAAAACAAATTCACATACATATTACTTCTTTAATAACCTTGAATAATCTAAAACAAAGTGCTATTCCACAAATCGTATTCATTTATTAAAAATCTATTTTAGCCACTTAAATTGCTAAATATTTGACAGTACTTTCTTGTTATTTAAATACTTATAAAAAAACCATAATTACTCTAAAGTGAAGAAGGCAAAAATCAGTAAAAACATAAAACCAAAACCAGTTTCTAAAAAGCTGAAACAAGGATCCCATTTACAGAAGAGGCAGAGGTAGCAGGGAGGCAGGTGGGTGGCCATACCTTCCCATGGGGTAGGATTAAAGCTACTCACCAACCATTGCACTCACTTCCCCAGCCATAAGTGTTTTTACTGTCTCGTTGTACAGATTCACATCAATGATGCCTTTACGGATAGTCTCTCCTACTTTGGCTCCCAGTAGCACAGAGCCAATAGTTTCAAATATTGATGCCAGAATGCACGCCTGTCTCAAGGTCACCACACCAGAGCCCACAGCAGTACCGAAGGAATTGGCAACATCATTTGCACCAACAGAAAATGCCAAGATGAAAGCTATAATAAAACCTAAAATGACCATCCACAAATATTCATTCATATCCATTCTGGAAGATGAATTCCAAGGACTTTTCTTTCACAGAAATATTTTAAATAAACAAAGCTTGAGGTTAATAAGTTTGTAACACTGAGAGTTCTTGTAAACAGTTTGCTCTGGAAAGTGCCAGGCAATGTTGGAGCTGGAACAAACTGCTAACTGTTGGTTTTCAAACTACTGTCAGTACAGTTCATTTGGTTGTGTTCAGTCAGCGGTAAAACACATTCCATATTTTTTCTCTCAGACTGGGAAAGCTGTGATGTTGCCTCCTGTAACAGGAAAAAAAAAAAAAGAATAAATCAATTACCTACAGCACCTGTAACATCTCGTTCTTTCAGAAATAAATGTTTGAGCCTGCCAATAGGATTTAACTTCAGCAGGGGATAGATCTAAATATAAAACAGATTTATGGCGGATTATAATTACACTACTCTCCATATCAACCAAAAACATTGAAAAAAAATCAGGTTTCTGGACTGTCAGAGCATGATGCTCACTGTTGACTGATAATAGGCCAGCCTTATTAGGTAAAGTTTTTAAAGCAACCTGAAAACATATTTAGCCATGGTTTTCGGTCACATTTGTTCATTTGCTTCAAGTGAATAAAACACAGAGAAAAGAGCTATTGAGTATTTGAAAATATGTGGACTATGCCTAGTTCCTTGGAACAGTGATGATGAATCTGATTATGTGTTGCCATAGGGTGTGACCACTATCTATCTGCATTTTACATGAGGGCATGAACCTTCTGTCTTATGAGTACATCCTACAACAATCTCTGGATCCTATCACTTATGCAGCAATGATGAAAGTGAGAGTGGAAGGTACTCCATGGAGGTGCAGAGAGAGTTGGAAGATGTACTATCCCACAGTTTCTCATCTTGCCTAGGAAAAAGGGGCCTCACCATGGCTAGCAAAACCCCTGCCCATCCAGCAGCTCACTACCCTGGGCTCTTCCAGCTCTCATTCATTACTCCCTGAAAAATCTCAGGGCTTTGGTACCCCAGGATCCTTCTGCCAGGGAAAGTCCTCCTGATAGCCACACAGCTTTCCTCTCACTCCACTGAGGCTAGGGCCTAGAGTAAGTCCTAATCAGTGTGTTGAATAAATAAGAAAGGAGCTTCCCTTTGCCATAAAACACACTTTGCAGTATAAATGTCAATTAAAAACCTTCATCATTATGATATCCTGTTACTATCTAATCAAGAGACCAAACTTGTATATTTTTTCAATGATGCTAGGCATATAATATGGTGTCTCATAAACATGGTTTCTTCATAAATGCTTACTGAATTGAATCAGGCTCATATTCCATGTCACATACACTATAATATTTTGGTCAGTCAACAGGTATTTAAGAGGGGTGTGTGTGAATTTTTATAGACCTTGTGATTATGGCAATGTTAACATTGGCTGGGGTGTAGATCACAGGTAAGCCCTTACCCAGCATGTGCAATGCCCTGGGTTCAATCCCCAGCACAGAAAAACAAACAAAAAACACCAAAAGTTAATATACTAAAATGGTAATATTAACAGTAATGTAACTGATGATTTCCTCCCACCAAGCTATATACTGCAGTTACATATTTTTCAAATGGAAATAACAAGTTACCAAACTTACTAGGTAATATCAATGTCATGTTATAGACATAGAGTTAATAGAAAATATACACTGACAGTTTTATCATTTTCTAAGACTTATAGCCAATGCAGTTTTAGAGATAACAAGTATGACAAATGAGATACCATACTCAAGGCAAAAAGATAATATTCAATTGAAAAAGGTAATATTCAACTGAAAAAATTTTATTCAGCATTATGATAGGCACAGTAAATCTTCAACTGAAAATCAAAATGACAATGAATGTTATCTATCTTAAAATATACAAAGCTTCTTCATGAAATCTTGACAGTCTAGGCTGCCCATAGGGAAAATAAAGACATTCAGTAAATTATTTCTTGGAAACCTCCTTTGTACAGTAGCTGGAAATACAATGTAAGTGAAATCAAGGTGGTCCAGGCATGTATGGGACACAATGAAGGAGCAGACACTAAACAGATAATCATATAAACGTGCACCTCCAAACTGGTGATGGTGCTACGAAGGACACAGGTTGGGACATGAACTTATCTGAGAGTACAGTAAAGGCCAAGAATTCAGACAGCTAAATTCAGAGGAGTTGAGGTCTGTTAGGTATGATGTATGAAAGTATACTGACAGCTTGAAAAGTAGAATTTTGAAGGTAGAAAACAAATTAGTGGGGAAATACTGATTCTTGCAATAAATGATATAGAGACAACATGTCACTGACCAAGTATCTGAAGGGGGAAATATTTAAATGAACAAAAAACCCAAAAGAATTCAAAAGAAACATATAAATATGTACTTAATATTGGATGGAAAAATCTACATATGACATACATGCAATTAATAAAAGGAAACAAGCTAGAGAAGTGGCCCAAGTGGTAAAGCACCTGCTACTAAGTGCAAGGCTCCAAGTTCAAGCCCCAGTCCTACCTTAAAAAGAAAAAAAGAATCAATATAGATGAGAGGCAAAGAAGACTCAAATGTGGGAACAACACAGAAATGTCATCTCTCTCCTACAGCAGTGAATTTCAACAAAAGTGCAGTACCATTAACAATTTTCAGTCAGTGCCTTGATTCTTTCCAACTCCCCTAAAGGGTTTTTTATAAAAACAAAACAAAATTACCGCATAAAAACACAAAAAAATACCTAGAACAAATTTCTTCACTCTCTCCTACTAGGAAGTCTTCTTTATGGCTGTAATTCACAGGAATAAATGTCACAAGACATTCTTCAATTTTCAAAGAGCACATAATTTCTGCACTTGAGGGACAGTAAACCTGACTTATTCATTGACTTATTACATGCAGTTCTGTGAAGTATGGTTAAAAAAAGGTTAAAAATCAAAAGAAATTTTTAATTCCCATATGTGCATTATGCAGCTCCGTTGATAAAATGAAACTTTCAGTCTTGTGTTATCAGTCATGTTTAAATTGTTGTGTGATCTATTGTTTCTGCCCTTTATTTTGTAAAAATATGCCTCCCCAAAAGCAAATGATACCCTCAAAGCAAGGTAACAGTGAGTATGTTTAAGTGATAAATGTGAAAACCTGAGATCTGTTAAGCTGTGAAGCATTTTGGGAAAAATGAATAACACATTTGTAATACAGAGCTGAATTCTCCATCCTGAACATGTATGGGTTTTCCTCAAGGGTGGTCTGCTTGGAACCATTTGCATGTAGATACCATGGCTCTACTTTATTCTAAAATGCACTAAAGGGTTTATAAACTCCTTTTGCCAGATTTGAAATATGTTAACAAGATCCTCCCTGTTTTTTTACCATTACCTTCGATGCCTATGGGACAATATTCTCAACTTTCAATTCTTCCTCCTTATCCTGTTCTACTATCTTCACAAGCTGTACTTTTTTTCTCTAGGCTCAGTAAGGCCCCTCATAGGACCCTTAAGTGTTAGAGATCTGTTTTTTATTTTTATTTATTTATTGTTTTTGCAATGCTAAGGATCAAACCCAGGGCTTGCCTTGTACATGCTAGGCAAGTGCCCTACCGCTGAACTCCACCCCAGCCCAAATTGCATTGTAACTTCTTTTAGTGAGCATCAGATATAACTTGGCCTATTACCCTCTTAACCCAAATTGCAAATTTGAATTTTAAAGAAAAATTGAAAACAAACATTCTTACCTGTTACTGGACAAATTTACAAACTGTTTACTATTATTATTATCTGTCCCAGTCCTGGAGCTTGAACTCAGGCCTGGGCTCTGTCCCTGAGCTTTTTTGCTCAAGGCTAGTACTCTACCACTTGAGCCACTTTTTGGTGGTTAATTGTCTCACAACCTTTCCTGGCCGGCTGGCTTCAAACTGTGGCTCTCAGATCTCAGCCTTCTGAGAGGCTAGGATTATAGGTATGAGCTTTCGGCACCTAGCTACAATGTTTTAATTTAAAAGCAGGAGGATTGGAAAAATATGATAAGAAACACATTTATGCCACATGAAGTTTAGATAAGTGGATTCTGCTGTGGAACACTGCTACATGTAACAACCAAAGGATTTTGCAGTTTTAAAGAATGGCTCATAGTCAATTTATAGTTCATGAGGAGTTTTTACTTGAAATTTCATGACTCAGATCAAGCTTTTCCTCCAAGATCATGTCCCCCATGCAGAGCACCATGGTACTGAAACCCAAAAAGCTTGACACCCACTCTCTAAAAACATAATTCTACTTTCCTTGAAGCTGAGGTGAAATCTTGAAACATGAAGGCACAGATATCTCTTCAATATGTACTCTGCTACTCATAATGGTAGAGTGGACTTCCTAAGACATGAAAATTTCTATCTTTTCCTAATAATACTGAAACAAAATGGAAGATTCACTTTTGGAATCTCATTTGCAGAACAGCATAGCAGAAGAATGACTTTTTTAAAAAAAACATTTACCATGTAGATCTTATAATAAGCAGTTTCTAGTAACATTATTCAAGAAAACATCCACTTTGTACTTTCAAACTTAGATGGAATCAGCACCAACGCAGCTCTGAGACTTGCCTAACTACCTCAAATAGCATATTCCCAAATATGCAAAGTACTCACAGGAACCTGAAAAAGGGCAGAAACAAAGAAGAAAGTAAAAAAGGGAGGGAAAGGAAGGGAAAAGGAAGGAAAAAAGGAAGAAAGGGAAGGAGAAGGAAAAGGGAGGAGAAAAGGAAAGGAAGGAAGAGGAAAATGGCATTAGAAGGAAGGGCAAGACAATCAAACAAATGTCAGATCAGGCTTGGAACATAGGCACACAGAGACTGCAGCGCACTGACAGGTGAAGTGAGAAGATGGCATATTTTCTCATGATCACATAGCCTGAGGTGAACAAGAAAGCTGACCTGAGCAAGCAAGCTGAAGAGTTGAACCCAAGGTCACTTTGCTGATATTCTGCCCCTTTATCTTCTTTTCTCTCTTAGGCTTAAAAAAGAAACATTTGTTCATATTGCCCAGAAAAGAGAACCCCAGGTTCATTCTTGTCCAGCAGGCTACTGGCTGTACTAGTCTGGGCAAATCACCTAAATGACTGAGAAATAGGTAAGATGGGACATAACCACTAGTTATGTGCATGGTAGAAGTGTTAACATGGTGACTTTTAGTATCATTAGCAGATAAAGCCCTGGGCATGGTTGGGAGTTGGGGCCTAATCCTACTGCTGCCAGTAATGAGCAGTTGAACGGGTGACTCAA